TACTGTAAGACAAGGATTCTATTGAGAAAAATCTCAAGAATGCACAGAGATACCACTCTCTGAACAATTAAAATATACCAGACAGGTCTACAAAGGTAATAAATGTCTGCAGCGTCCATGCACAAACAGCTACCTCAATGAAAAGAAACATGCCTAGCATTCTTAGGTCCTGCAAAACTGACTCAATTATTTTGAAAAAATCAAAATAGAGGGGCCGGCACTGTGCCACAGCAGGTTAAAGCCTCAGCCTGCAGTGCTGACATCCCATATGGGCGCTGGTTCAAGTCCCAGCTGCTCCTCTTCTTATCGGGCTCTCTACTGTGCCCTGGGAAAGCAGCAGAAGATGGCTGAAGTCCTTGGGCCCCTACATCCACATGGGAGGCCTGGAAGACGCTCCTGATGCCTGGCTTCAGATCGGCTCAGCTCTGGCCAGCAGATGGAAGACCTCTCTTTCTCTCTCTCTCTCTCTCTCTCTCTGTCCCTAGTTCTCTGTGACTCTGGCTTTCAAATAAATAAAATAGATCTTTTTAAAAAAAATAAAAATAGGGCTGGCGCCATGGCTCAATAGGCTAATCCTCCGCCTTATGGTGCCGGCACACCGGGTTCTAGTCCCAGTCGGGGTGCCGGATTCTGTCCCGGTTGCCCCTCTTCCAGGCCAGCTCTCTGCTGTGGCCAGGGGAGGCAGTGGAGGATGGCCCAGGTACTTGGGCCCTGCACCCCATGGGAGACCAGAAGAAGCACCTGGCTCCTGCCATCGGATCAGCGCGGTGCATCAGCCGCAGCGCGCCAGCCACAGCGGCCATTGGAGGGTGAACCAACGGCAAAGGAAGACCTTTCTCTCTGTCTCTCTCTCTCACTGTCCACTCTGCCTGTCAAAAAATAAGAATAAATAAATAAATAAAAAATAAATAAAAATAGAGTAGCAAAAGAAAATATGTCATTAGCCTTATCACAAAACTATCCTGCTTATATCATCCTGAGTATAATTTTGTTTGAGTAATGTCAAAACACAATTTTAAAACATCAGCTTCACAAAAACTTACATGCATTCTTTTAAACCTTTATCATTGCTCAAAATGCTTAAAATACCAGAAATAAAGTTTTATACTAAAATATGTCAATAGTTGTCTGAAATGCTGTAATAAAAAGTAGATAGAAAATCTTTATCTACAGTTTTTATTTTACTCCTTTTCTTCTTACTAAATGTGTGTTAACAAAAACCCACAAATGATGTAGACAAAAGCTTTTAGCTCAACACATAATTGCAAGAAAATTACAATAATTGTACCAATTAAAATAATCTTGAATGAACAGTATGTCATCTTAATGTTCCAATGGTATATAGAGGGATCTACTTAATTAGCTGAAACTGCTTTCCAGTGTTAGTATCAAATGTCATTTGTTAAAAGTTGAACAATTTAGAAAATAATTTAACAAACCAATTTTACCAAACACCAAGAACCAACATTTTCTTTTTCAGCTGAATAAAGCAAGCAGATGTGTCATCAAATTGCTATAAAAATAAATGAAGCTTTTTATGGATTAAAAAAATAAATTTTACGACCAGCATTAAAAATACTATTTTCTGATTGTTTTTACCAAATCAGACTTCTTTAATAAAATAAATGAATATCAATTACATACCGCTGCTTTTTGTCAGCTGTAAATAAAACTTTTTATTATTCAAATGACAAGTAATAGCACCAAAGAACCCAACTATGGTTAAGTAGAAACAGCCATTTAAATCACTCTAACACATTCCAATATCTGATTTTTCAATAGCTTGGACAAATAGTTTGTCTTCTTAAAGTTTTTCATTCCAAGTCATTTTAAGTTACTTCCTTATAAATTCCCAAAGATTTCTTAGTATACTGTCTTTTCTCTTCCTTTGGCGATCTACAAAATGCTCTTTGTATTTGTAGACATAGAAGACATACATAGTATTCAAAACCTCAAAACCACGATGAATCCAACCCACACAAGGATGGCAAGGCCACCAAGTGGTCTAGTCTAAAACAACGCTTTTGTTTAATGACAAAACAAAGTTTAATATCAGCTCACTACATCTGCAATACATTATACTTTAGATTACTTGAAAAGTAGTCTATAAAAACTCGTTATTTTATTTCTTGATGAAAAATATTTATCTCTTCCCCCAGAAAAATATTTCACAACTACTTATTTCATAGGGAGGTATAATAATCACTATTTCCTTTAAACTGTATGCTATGATTCTCTTTTGCCCATAAATAGCCCTCACACTAAATAGCCTCTCTGCCTCGCAAAAAATAATTTTGGGGGCCGATGTTGTGGTGCAGCTGGTACAGCCATCACCTGCAACACCAGCATCCAAATGATTGCCAGTTCGTGTCTTGGCTGCTCCACGACCAATCCAGCTCCTGCTAATGGCCTGGGAAAGGCAGCAGAAGACGGCCCAGGCGCCTGGGCCCCGGCCCCCCCAGACCTGGAGGAGGCTCCTGGTTCCTGGCTTTGGCCTGAACCAGCCCTGGCCATTGTGGCCATCTGTGGAGTGAGCCAACTCATGGATGATCTCTGTCTCTCCCTCTCCTGCTTTAACACTTTCAAATAAATAAATCCATCTCTTTTTTTTAAGTGTATGTTTTATCTTCAATCAGAACATAAGTTTCTCAAACAGTAGCACTTAGAGGGGAATGATAAATACATTGTATTTAATTTACCTCCCCAAGGTTTAGAAAAAGGTTTGTGCGTAGGTGTGTATAGGTGTAGCTGTGTACAGACGTAGATACAAATATATCAAATGTATCGAGAGAGGATTAGCACCCAGGACACAAGACTGAAGTGCAATGTTATCAACAGATCAATCTGGATGAAGGGTATATGGATGTTCTTTGTATTATTATTATTTTTTTTTTTGACAGAGCTAGACAGTGAGAGAGAGAGAGAGAGAGAGAAAGGTCTTCCCTCCATTGGTTCACCCCCCAAATGGCCTCTACAGCCAGAGCTACACCGATCTGAAGCCAGGAGCCAGGTGCTTCCTCCTGGTCTCCCATGCGGGTGCAGGGGCCCAAGCACTTGGGCCATCCTCCACTGCCCTCCCAGGCCACAGCAGAGAGCTGGACTGGAAGAGGAGCAACTAGGACTAGAACCCAGCACCCATATGGGATGCCGGCGCCGCCGCAGGCGGAGGATTAACCAAGTGAGCCACGGCGCCAGCCCCTTAGTATTATTCTTACTCTTGCAACTACTCAGTAAGTTTGGAAGTATTTTCAAATGGAAAAGTTAATTGAAAACATGTAAGTTGCTCAAGACAGGATCATGACTTTGGGTTTGTCCTTCTCTTCACCCCCTCCCTGGCCAGCCCCTGCAACAGACACAGACAAAGAACAGCTAGCTACACCTTGGCTCCTGCACACACCCATGCTGGATAGCAGCTGATGAAGAAATTAACTGAAGTGGACACACGGACCTCAGGGGAAGCAGTGACGCCTCTAACCACTACCCACCTTGGTTTCCTTCAGGAAATAAGGGAGAGAGGCAACATTCAAACGCTTGCTTGTAGCCCCAGCATCTGCAGCAGGGCCTGCACACAGCAAGTGCTTAGTCAACTTTAGCTGGATTGAATGAAATACGAGTGTTTTGGAGGGCCTTTCAAATCGCTGGTTTATTCCTGCATCTCCGCTTCCTAGAGACCCGGGCTTCCTTCCCCTGCCCCTGCCCCTTTGCCTTATTTCTAAAATCTCGAAGGCCAAGTGCAATTCCATCCCGCTTCTCCACAGGGCTGTGGACTGAGCCCCATTCACTCCCGCACACCCCGTGCAAACCACTGGGTCACTGCAGCATGAACACCCAGATCCGGGACGCGCTCCGGGCTGGAGACCAACACTGCAACAAGCCTCCACAACACAGACACCAGTCGTGAGACACACTACGAACACAGAAAATGGTGGTGGAAAATGACGCAGACCGCCTGCTGACAATGCACCAAGAGAAAGAGGACTTGCAGTCCTGCAGCTTTAGCATGGGAACTCTGCACCACATACAGTGTTAGACTTAGTATTTCATTTACATTGTAAGACAGCAGTTTCAATTATCCTCAATTTCACACAACTTTTCCTACAGTTAACTTGTATTATTTTTTTCCTCGGACATCATTTAGTAAGAATAACAAGTGAAGTATTTAAAGGTATGACAAGAAACTGATAATCCTTAAAACTTCATATGCCTGGAAAAAGAAGAGTATGTCCAAACAAAGTTGCAAATTTGACATTATGGGATATATACCAGTGCTAGTACTACTCAAAACTAGAATGAATGAATAAAAATAAGTTGAACCCAGAAATTTACGTTCTATATATTACTCTGCATTTGGTTTGATTTATATGAATTAACTTCCTTTTTAAGTCAAACTAAGGGGCAGACATTTAGCCCAGCAGGTAAGCTGCTGGTCAGGATGCTGCCATCGTGGTCCCTGGGTTTGACAGGCAGCTGCTGATGGCAGCTTTCTGCTAATGCAGACCCTGGGAGGCAACAGTGACAGCTCAAGTAATTGCCACCATGTGGAAGACCTGGATTGAGTTTCCAGCTCCTTAGATTGAGCCCTAGCCCAGCCCAAAACAGACCCTGCCATTGTATGCATCTGGGGAGTGAACCAAGGGTAATGTTTTCTTTCTCCTTCTCTCTGTCTCTCCCTCTCAAATGAATAAATACAAGTAAACTTGGGGCCAGTGTCATGGTGCAGCAAGTGAAGCTACAGACCGCAATGCCAACACCCCATACTGCAGTGGTGGCTGGAGAACCGGAAGCTTCACTTCTGCTCCAGTTCCCTGCTAACGAGCCTAAGAAGTCAGCAGGAGATGGCCCAGTGCTTGGATCCCTGCCACTATGTGAGAGACCTCAGTGGAGTTCCCTTCTCCTGGCTGCAACTTGGACCAGCCCTGGCATTTCAAACAAACAAATAATAAACCTTGAAAATAGATAAATAAACTCAACACAAGATGAAGTTGCAGAGCTCACGGTACCTCTCATAGATGGTTTTCAGAGTCGTCTGATCGGGCACACCCTCGGTTTCTTCCAAATATAATATGAGCCACGAAGTTCGGTAGGGCCACTGCTCTGTCAGGTTGATCCAGCTAGCAAGCCTGTCCCAGTTGAAGCTAATCTGGTTGGCTCTCAGTAACCGCCCTGTATGAGCATAAAGCATTTTAAAGTTAATAGATGTGTAGTAGTATATTAAAACATTTAGTATAGTCACAAATAATTTACCCTTAAATTTCAAAAATTTGCCATCTTAAGTCATACCATAAATTCAAATCTAGCATTGATAATGGCTTCCGAAATCCAAAGACCTAGACTAGAAAGCTTCTAGGAGCTCTGAAACAACTCTGTTGAATTCTAAAGCGCTGTTTTTGTTGGATTTGCTACTGGTCAGATATACTTGTTTGACCACACACATCCAGGCCAGAAGCAGAACCGCGTGTCACACAGCCCAACACTGCCCACAGTCGCACAGATGAGCCACTCACCCACAAGGCCCACTCCTCTCAAGGACTGTCTGCAGACATCCTTCCGATGGACCTGGAACAGATCCAAGTACCTTGGTCCATTCTTGCCTATTACGCGTCTGTGCAATCCCACACACTTTCACTTTTAGGTAGTAAGAGAGGCCTAAGCAACCTACTAGCCGAGTTATGTCTAAATTTTGTTATTTCTATTTTTTAAACCAGAGCTATTACGGGGGTTGTGTAAGAATCCTGATTCAGCGCTCCAGCACTGGGCATCACACGTGGACAGCTGTAACCCTAACTTTCAGAATGGATACTCTGACTCGTTGCATCATCACTGATTTGGTTTGGATTCTCAACTGTTACTGCTGCTTTTTAATTTAAAGCATTGTCAGTTTCACTTCATTATTATTAATTTAGTTTGTATCTAGACTGGGATAAGTGAGAGTTTTGGTTCAAATATGAATTACTCCTTTGCCTACAACTAGTATACAAGCTGAGTATCCATTGTCTGAATTGTTGGAGACCAGAGGAATAGCTCAGAATCTGGTTTTTTCAGTCTTGAAATATTTACTGCACATGATGGGGAAGAGGCCCAAGTGTAATCACATAATTCACATTTGTTTCCTGTACCCCTTGCACATATAGCCTGAAGATAATTTTATATGACGTTTTTCATAATTTTGTGCAGGATACGAAGTGTCACAATGTGGAACTCTCCACTTGCGGCCTCATGGTGGTGTGTAGAGTTTCAGATCTCGGCACAATGTGGACTCTGGAGTTTGGGAGGGGGATGCTCACCCTAACAGATACACAACCACAAGCCCCACATCCCACGCCTCCTGTACCCCCAGACCACGCCCTTTAACAAAACTGCTGACACAAGCAAATGACGTTTTCGTCACTGTATTCTTTTCCCCTGGAAGGTGGGATCTGACCTACCAGGTCGGTAACAAGGTCTTCACCTTCCATCTGAGTGAGCTGTGCTCACAAGCATTTGAGAGCTGTGGAAACTCACGAGAGTGTCACCACTAATGGCACACGAATGCCGCAGGACGCGTCTAATGAAAGATAGAGCCCTACAGCCCTCGTGAAACCTGATCCAGGGGAGCTAACAGACCAAACAAAAAGACGGAAATGAACTAACACACATCATGACACTGCAGAGTATGAACAGGTTAATGCAGAACTGAGTGTCAAAAAACGGGCAGCAAAAGCAAGGCATTAAAATATGCTGGAATGGGGCCAGCATTGTGGTGCCACAGGTTAAGCTGCCTCTGCACCCGTTCAAGTCCCAGCTGCTCTGCTTGCAGGCTAGCTTCCTGCTACTACACTGGAGAAGGCAGCAGAAGATGGGGCCTGGGAGACCAGGATGCAGCTCCTGGCTCCTGGCTTCACGCCTGGCCCAGCTCCAGCCACTGAAGCCATCTGAGGTGAGAACAGCAGATGGAAGATCTCTCCCTCTCTCCCCTCTCTCCTTCTGTCTCTCTCCCTCTTCCTCTGCTCTCGGCCTTTCAAATAAATACACCTTTAAAAAAAATACTATGAAGGTGTGATTTAAAAATGCTTGAACACTAACAATATATTTCTTCTACCAACATTTAAACTGAAAAACAATTCGTGAAAAAAAATTTAGAACCAAATGGGAGACATGGATTATAACAACATATATATGAACTGCCATCCCATAATGATTGGATTTGATCCTCAAAACAGTGTCTTACGGGAAGGCAGCAAATACCTCAAATCTAGCTACAGCTGATTTACGGTGTTAAAATCCACTCACACAAGACCAGCACTGTGGCATAGTAGGTTAGGCTCACTTGTAGTGCTGGCATCCCATATGGCGCCGGTTTGAGTCCCAGCTGCTCCACTTCCGATCCAGCTCCCTGATAGTGGCCTGGGAAGGCAGTGGAGGATGGCCCAAGTACTAGGGCTCCTGCACCCACATGGGAGACCTGGAAGAAGCTCCTGGTTCCTGCCTTCTGATTGGCCCAGCTCCACCACTGCGGCCATTTGGAGTGAACCAGATGATGGGAGACCTCTCTCTCTTTGTTTCTCCCTCTCTCTCTGTAACTCTGCCTCCCCAATAAATAAATAATCTTAAAATTCACTCATTCAGCATGTTAGTCACTGACGACAGAGCTGAGTGACCTGGACCCCTCCCAACTCTTCGCTGGAGACACCAGCATATTGCTGCACGCAAACAGAAAATGAGCACCACGCCCGTGCGCAGCCGCAGCTAGGCAGCCTCCCCGAGTCAGCAGGCACCAGCACCGGGCTGAGTAGGATGGATGCCGACCAGGCCCGGCACAAGAAGCCAGGCAGCCAGGCTCGCCACCACAGCGCCGGACGTGAAGAAGGGGGCGCCACTTTAAAGTAGGAGTGAACGGAAGCAAGCATTCTCCTTAAAAACACACCTGGGCCACCATCAGTGAGAAATGAAGTAGCAGCTGCAGCAAGACCCTGTGCCCTGAACGCGCCTAAGATCTGTTCAAACGCTGTTTGCCAAAGCAACCACTAAGACCAACCACAGATCAGGGACAGCTGACGAAACAAAGTACACTTTTCAGTAGGAAACCACTCGACGCAACCCTCACCAACAGTCGTCTATTGAACCCCAGACGGCTTCCTGACTTGGCCCAGCTTTTGCACGAGTTCCCTGGAACCACAACTATGCACACAGCGCTCAGCGGGTCGTGTACGCTCTTGCACAGAGGGGAATGGGGAGTTAAAGAGACCAAGCAATGCACAGGGCTCCAACCGCGGTCCTTTACCTTCAAATTCCTTCCTATCTATAAAATGTACCCCCCCCCCCCAGCTAAATCAGCCTGAACAGGGCCTTCATCTCGTGCCCAGTGCCCAAATCAACAAGTGGCATAACGCAGACAACTCACTACACATTTGTTAAATGAGGAATAAGCGGACTATTCCCACTCCAGGCATAATCTAGTGCAGTGGGGTTGAGACATCACTGTGAAAGGATTTAGTTATCAAAAATATTACAAATATACTAGATACAACCTCACTGGTAATACAGCTGATGGCATAAATTTCAGCACTAGCACAAAACACAAATCTAGTGCAACTCTCCCAAGAGCTCACACTGATAAATATTACCAAAATATCCATATGTGCAGAGAAACAGACATGTATTTTACAAACTAACTCGCAAGCATTTGTATGCCTGCTCTGGAGCTACTTAGTAAGCATCAACGTGATGAGAGCAGAATTCAGTCACGGGCAATGACCCTCAATTTCTTTAATTCAATCAATTTTATGTGAAAGCTAAAATTGAGTAGCAGTATATAAAACCTGAACTTCAACATTTTAAGTTATAAGTTAATCATACTCAGGTATGTAAGCTAGCATAAAATTACACAAGAAAAATCACGCTTGAGATGAAGTAAATGATTTTTAGAATCACCCAATGTGGAAGGCACAGTGGCACCTGAAATCAGAAACGCTCCACCATCGGGAACGTTCTGAATGCCCACATGACGCACAGAAAGCCGAGGACTGCGGCGCACCCCAGAGTTCAGGTCATCCAGTTAGGGGTGCTCGCCCGGTGGAGTCCTGTAAATACTCCCAAATCCAAAAATCTCCAAGCCCAGAGCCACTTCCGGGTTGGAGCATTTTAGATGAGGACTGTCAGCCTGCATGCCTGCAGGAGCACACTCAGCACAGACACAGGCAGACAGGCGGTGCTCAACAATGCGGATTCGCACGTACCTAACGCGCCAGAAGGCGCCCTGCTAACACCCAGCGAGTCAGAACTAAGAGTCACCTGTGACAGACACAATGTTCAGCAGTCTTCTCATGGTCTGGGGACTAATGTCGCTGAACCAGTCCTCGGTGACCAGCAGCTTGGTGAGGTCAAAGGACATCTGCCGGGTGACGGTGCGCTGCATCTGCCGCCTCCGGTACGTGTCCTGGAAGAGCGGGCAGCAGGGACAGTGAGCCGCGCCCCAGCCCGAGACGCCAACACGCACGACCACGCCATCCAAAGCCGCCGCACAGAGGAGGCGGCACGGCAGGAGGTTTCCCACGTCCCTGGGGCAGACCCTTCAGGAGCAGGTGCAAATCCAGGAGCACCGCTACGGCGTAGCTTCAGATGCACGCGCCTCACGCTGGCACAGTTACAGGCGGCGCAGTGCCCTAAGACTAAGTACGCGGAGCCGGGTAGCGGCCTGCATCCAAATTCCACGGAGGCTCAGCACGTCTAGGAATCCTGGAATAACCAAGTGGATGCGTCTGGTCCGCTTTCTGGAGTCAGCGTCTTGATTTTTTAGGTTATTTTAAAATGTACGACAATTAAGTCAAAGGCACAAGGTTCTGTTACTACCCTCACATCTCCACAGGAGACAATTTTTTAAAAGTTGATCTGAAAGGCAGAGAGACCACGAGAGACAGCAGCCCGGGCTCTTGCATCTGCTGGTTCAGTCAGGGCGGGGCTGGGCTGGGCTGAGCGGGCAGGAATTCCTCCAACAGGAGGAACAGGCAAACAAGCAGCCTCCTGCTCTCGGGTCCTGCCGCCAGGGAGGGGCGAGTGCATCCGGACGGTGCCCGAGACAGACTCCCAGGAAAGAAATTAAAAGGCCAATCACCCAGCCCTCGGAATGCAGTGCTGTTGATGTCATGTCCATCAGGGCAGGTGTCCAGGGCAGAGGTCGGGACGCCACTTGGGATGCCCGCATTCCATACGGGAGTGCCCGGGCTCAAGTCAGCTCCACTCCTGATGAGCACCCATATGAACCCTGGGTGGCAGCAGGTGATAACTCAAGTAGCTGGGCCCCTGCCAACCACATGGGAGACTCAAACTGAGTTCTGGGCCCCTGGTTTGGGCCTGGTCCAGCCCCAGCTGATGCAGGTATTTGGGGAGTGAACCAGCAGATGAAAGATCTCTCTGTATGTATCTCTTTTTGTCTCTCTGCCTTTCAAATAAAACAAATTAGTAAGCAACATTTTTACATTATCATTCATCATATTAACCTTGTATTCATATCTATAAAGGGTGGAGGCATAAAATAAATGTCACAATGGCATCAGAGACACATTTTTAACAATTTATTTGAAAGGCAAAGAGGAGCTCTTCCACCCACTGTGTTCACTCCCCAAACGCCCCCAACGGCCAGGCTGGCCCAGGCCAAAGTCAGGACCTGGAAATCAACCCAGGTCTCCCGCAAGAGTGGCGGAGACGCCAGGACTCGTGCTTGAGTCACGACCTGCTGCCTCCCAGGGCGGGCGCTAGCAGGAAGCTGGGGTCAGCGGCAGAGCTGGGACCCGTGCTCGGGCATGCTGATACGGGGTAAGGGAGGAGCCATGAGGCATCTGTAACTGCTGTGAAAATACCAGTCCTGGGACACATTTTTTAAGAAATAAAATACGAAAGTCCATGAGAGCAAACCAGAAAAGAAGGCCAATGCCAATGGTAACCCAGTTAGTTGTCCCTACGTAGCACAGTCACAACTTCCCCGCAAGTGGGTGTACGTGGACACGTACAGGCAAGACGGGAGACAGCTACGTACCAGAGGACAGAGGAAGCAGGGCAGGGCACAGAATCATCACGGAGACACACAAGGAGCACACGTCCCACAGGCAGCAGGGAAGGAGAAAAGCTAACAGGAAGACAAAGCCAGGAGCTTTCTCACCCTACAAACTTCTCTCCCACAGCTGTGGTGGCAACAGGCGCAGCAACACCTGATCTGGTGGGTGAACCATTTAGCTGCAAGATCTCACTGCTGGAGATTCCCACACACTTGGCTGGGACGCAGCAGCGCCGGACTGAGAGCCGGGTGAGGGCAGGGACTCCCACACAACAGAAGGCAGCTAGGGCCCAGGTGCAGGCGTCCCTGCACCACCTGACGCTGCAGGGGACGCCACAGTGTGCATCCCTAATACCCACGAGCCTATCGAGGCGGCAGCCCCTTACTGTTATTGGAATAACTGCATACAAACATAGAGCTCAAGGACTGGGGCATCGTGGGGCAGGGAGTTAAGTCGCTGCTTGTGACGCTGGCAGCCCATAAGAGAGCGCTGGTTTGAGTCCCGCCTGCTCCACTTCTAATCCAGCTCCCTGCTAACACGCCTGAGAAGGCGGTGGGGGATGGCACATGTGCCTGGGCCCTGCACCCTCGTGGGAGACCCAGATGGAGCTCCTGACTCCTCACTTCCGCCTGGCACAGCCTTGGCTGTGGTGGTCATTTGGGGAGTGAACCAGCAGATGGAAGACACACCTCTCTCTGTCACTCTGCCTTTCAAATAAATGACAAAATAAATCTTAAGCAAAAATCCCGTAGCTCAAGTCCAACAGCGTCTCACCCGTCGATTGAGGGCTGTCCTGCTGCCGAGCTTCGTCAACTCCCCGAGGCTGTTCTGCGAGACTCTTCGGTCAGCGTCTTCCTGCAGCCCTTAAAGAGCCCATCAACAAAGCATCATTTGCACTAAAATTCACACAGACATGAAATACCAGAAACACTTTCCAAGGTGAAAGGAAAGCCACCGGGGAAAACTGCAAGGCTGCTTCAGAGCCAAGGCACCGCGGCAGCCCGGTCGTCACCTGCCGCGTCCGGACACGGAACGTCCCCGTTCGCTGTCGAGCTCACGAGGAAGCGCCTGGCGCTGCTCAGCCCACGACTGTTCAGGAACACGGGCAGGTGCACGATGTTGCGCATGTAGTCGTGCCCGTTGATATTCGAGTCACGAAGCACACTGCTGAGGTTCTGGTTAATCGCCTTTATGATGATGTGTGGGTCACTTGCAAAAATGGCAATGAATGGGCCTTTGGAAAACAGAACCCGGACCTGTGGTAGGAGAAACGTTTAGCTGTGACATAAGATTTAAATTATCCAAAACAGCAGGATGTCGCTCCAAAATGTGTGCTCCCCTTTGGGGACAAGACTGTTGATGTCGTATTTGTTTTATCCAAATATACTCCAAATTTGAAAACAACGCATATTAACAGCTCAACCTGAATTTGTTGCCATCTGGCAGTGACAAAGCCTACACAGAAAGTAAGTCATTGTACCTCACCTTAAGACACTTCCATCTGCATAAGAGCAGCACAGGAGAGCCACACATGCGCCTGGCCTGTGCCCCAGGCACACCCTACTGCTAGGAACACCCTGGGGACGGCCGCTCCCATGTGTGTCTTCCAGAAGCTCTGCAGAGCCCACAGGCTGCGCCCTACTTTTCTCACGCTGTCATTTGGCGAAAATTACCTACATCTTTCTGTGGTGAAACATTTACTCTTGCTATGCTTCTACATAAAAAAAAAAAGTTGTTTTTACAAAAGAATAATGACAAGAGGGACACGTGCTGCTGAAGCTGAAGACGGCCTCCATCCACCCGCCCGCGGTGTCTTCTGAAGCAGGCGCCCTCCCCAGCCACAGGGCGACAGCGCTGAGCGCCCAGGCAGCGAACGCACCGTGTCCAGCATCTGCAGCACCTTGTCCTGCTCGCAGGCGTCTAACCCGTCGATGATCACCACCAGCCGCGTCTGATTCTGAGTGAAGCTGTCGATGGTTTTCGCCATCCTGGCCATCAGTTCCACTTCCCACTTCAGAACCTATGCAAAGGAAAGATCCAGAAAGCACTGAGGAGACCAGAGGGTACGCACACTTCTTTAAACGCGTGACAGGAAGCATCCAACTCCCACAGAGAGAGGACAAACCCGACGGCTCTGCTGTCGCTGTGACTCCACCTGCAACTGCAGCGAAGGCGACAGCTTACCACGTGGCTGCACGGGCACACGCGACGCTGCAAAGCACACTGTGACAGCCACGCGGGAAACCAGACCGCGCAGTGACTGCCGAAACCGCAGCCTCTTGGATATGAATGCAAATCCAAAAGCTCTAACGATCTGACCTGGCTCCCTGACGGCACCTGCGCTTGTCCAAAGGAAGGGGCCACAGAATTCTACAAAGCCCCTTCCAGCGTAAAAATGGGTTCCTGTTTTACAGCTACTGGTGGTTCAATTTGCTGTTTTTTTCTTAAAACAGATCCGATCTGCTTACTTTACTTGGCTCCAGAGGAACCTGTACTAACAGGCAGTAACTGCCACCTGTGGAATAACCTGCTCACTCCCTTGAGTATCTTATAAAAGTCCATTTTATAAAACATGCTATTCTTATGACTTTTTTTCATTTTAAATATGTTTTTCCACAAGAAAAAAATCTAAAATAAAACTAAAAGTAAGTGGGAGGTCTTTGGCATCTGGTTCAGCGTGTAAATATCTTGGAAGCTGCCACTTCTTGATTTTTACACATTTATGTATGTAAGTCAAAGCGTGAGAGAAACCAGTGTCAGCAGTGACACAGTGATGGGGAGGAACTCAGAATTATTTTGCTTATTCTACAGTACACATATAACCACTGAAGTAGAACAGTATTGCTTGAAAGTGGAACAGTATTACCACTGAAAAAGCTGAAAAAGAAGTATAATTAATAATGCTAAGAAAGATAAGAAAATGGAATCTAATAAAATGCTTAATCCAAAGAAGGCATAGAAACAGTGGAAGACAAAAATAGGAACAAAGAACAAGGGAAACAAATATAAAACAGTAATAAATATGGCAGATACTAATTCATCTACATCAATAATCACCTTGAAAGTTAACTGTCTAAACCCACCAATTAAAATAAAGCAACTATCAGAGTGGATCCAGTTGTATGTTGTCACAAGAAATCCACTTTAAATACAAAGGCACATATAGATTAAAAGTAAATGAAGAAAGATGCACCATGCTAATGCCAATCGATAGAGAGTGAGAGTAGCCACATTAATTCCAGACAGTGAAAATTTATTATTTTTTATTTTTTTATTTTATTTTATTTTATTTTTTAATTTTTGACAGGCAGAGTGGATAGTGAGAGAGAGAGAGACAGAGAGAAAGGTCTTTCTTTGCCGTTGGTTCACCCTCCAATGCCGTCACGGCTGGCGCACTGCGGCCGGCGCACCGCGCTGATCCAATGGCAGGAGCCAGGTGCTTCTCCTGGTCTCCCATGGAGTGCAGGGCCCAAGCACTTGGGCCATCCTCCACTGCACTCCCTGGCCACAGCAGAGAGCTGGCCTGGAAGAGGGGCAACCGGGACAGAATCCGGTATCCCGACCGGGACTAGAACCCGGTGTGCCGGCACCGCAAGGCGGAGGATTAGCCTATTGAGCCACGGCACCGGCCTTTTTCTTTTTTTTTTATCTTTTTTTTTTTTTTTTTTTTTGACAGGCAGAGTGGATAGTGAGAGAGAGAGAAACAGAGAGAAAGGCAGACAGTGAAAATTTAAAGCAAGGAAAGGTCTGGGTATGTCTTATATATGTCTTCCACTAAAGACTTTAACAAATACTTGACCAAAGAAGATACACAGATAGCAAATGCACATATGAAAATATGCTGCACGCCACATCTCACCAGGGACAGGCAAACCAAAACAATGAAACAACACATACACCCATTACAATGGCCCAAACCTGTAAAATCAGTTACATCAGGCTGGCGCCGCAGCTCAGCAGGCTAATCCTCCACCTTGCGGCGCCGGCACACCGGGTTCTAGTCCCGGTCGGGATACCGGATTCTGTCCCGGTTGCCCCTCTTCCAGGCCAGCTCTCTGCTGTGGCCAGGGAGTGCAGTGGAAGGATGGCCCAAGTACTTTGGGCCCTGCACCCCATGGGAGACCAGGAGAAGCACCTGGCTCCTGCCATCGGATCAGCACGGTGCGCCGGCCGCAGCGCGCCAGCCGTGGCGGCCATTGGAGGGTGAACCAACGGCAAAAGGAAGACCTTTCTCTCTCTCTCTCTCTCTCTCTCTCTCTCTCACTGTCTACTCTTGCCTGTCAAAAAAAAAAAAATCAGTTACATCAAGGGCCAGCGCTGTGACACAGTTTAATCCTCCACCTGCAGTGCAGGCATCCCATATGGGCGCCAGTTCTAGTCCCGGCTGCTCCTCTTCCAATCCAGCTCTCTGCTGTGGCCTGGGAAAGCAGTGGAAGATGGCCCAAGTCCTTGGGCCCCTGCATCTGTATGAGAGACTGGAAGAAGCTCCTGGCTCCTGGCTTCGGATCTCACAGCTCCGGCCGCAGCGACCATTAGGGGAGTGAACCAATGGAAGGAAGACCTTTCTCTCTGTCTCAATGTCTATAACTCTGTCAAATAAAAGAATCGATTACATCAAATGATGGCAAGGATGAGGAGGGTAGCAGGAGCCCTGGTTCACTGCTGGTAGAGACACAAAAAGGCACAGCCACTCTGGGAGATCGCTCCGGGGCTTCTGACAAGAGCACGCACACTCTTACCACAGGATTCCGTAATCACGCTCCTTGGGTTTCTAACCAGAGGAGCTGATCATCTACGTTCACATAAAACCTGCACGCGGACGCCTGCCTCAACCTTCTTCACGTTTGTCAAAACTTGGAAGCAACAAAGACGTCCTTCGACAGGTGAATGGACACGTGGACGGTGGTACGTCCAGACGGTGGACTGTTACCACCAGGGCAACAAGGGCCGCAGCTAGGGCAGGACTGCAAGGGACTGAAATGGCCACTGCACGTGAACGAAGCCCATCTGGAAAGCCAACTGCACTAGAGGGCATCTCCGGGAAAACCAAGCCACGGGGAGGGCAGTCAGTGCCGCGGGCTGCAGGAGGGAGGGAGGCGTGAGCGAGCCCGGAGACTTCAGGGCAGCAAGCATGTTCTGTGTGGCACCTAGTGATGCACGCACTGTCCAAACGCACAGAGCGCAAACGCCAGGAACGGACCCTCATGCACACTGTGGGGGACAAGCCTGGGGGTTCTGATGTTGGCGAGGCTGAGCCCGGGCAGGGGCAGGGGCGAATGAGAGATCTCTGTAATTTCCTCCCAATTTGGCTGTGAACTTAAAATTGCTTTAAAATCTTGCCTTGGGATCAGGGAGTCAGCCTAGCAATTAGACGCTTACCTCCCACACTGGAGTCCCCAGGTTCAATACCCGCCCCAGGTCCTGACTCCCGCTTCCTACCCACGCAGGCCTTGTGAGACAGCCATGACAGCTCAAGTGTTTGGGTCCCTACCACCTACACAGGAGACTGGAATTGAGTTGGCGAGCGCTGCCCCAGCCACTGTGGACGCGGACTGGAGTGCTCTCTCTATCTGCCTGTCAAGTAAAAATATTTTTTTAAAAGTCTTGAGTAAATAAATAAAAACTAAGCTAACGTACCGCCAACGTTTAGAGCGGACACTCCGTAGCGCCCCGGTGAGCATGGGGTGTGGCACAGTTACATCACGTGCTTTCAAACAAACAATACGTACTTACTTTCATGAAACCTTCACTTTTCAATTTATGCAATCTGGAGGCGGCGTTATGGAGGCGTTTTCTTTGAGAGTTCAGAAGAGAGTCCAGCACTTGCCACCACGTCCGACAGTTGAGCACAAAGGCCAGCCCCACCACAGACGCCATTGCTATGAGGACAGCATTCACCGTCAGGTGTTTCGGGTCAACCCTGAACACAGCCAGGAGAGTGGTCCCAGCAACAATGCAGCCAAGGATGAAGAGGAAGATGACGAAAGACGGGAGGCAACACGTTTTTTTCCATTTCTTTTTACCTGCAACACAACAGATGGTTTAACAACCACCAACACACCCAGTATCTAAGAAGCCTGGCACCCCAGTCCCAGGCTCTGATAAGTCATGCTCAAGTCACTTTCATGAAAATAAACTGAACAGCCATCCCACCCCCAACCCCTGCACACACACACACACACACACACAAGAAGGGAGGAGACCCTACCCTGAGTCTCTTCAGTCTTGAATACTCGAAAAAGCCTGGTGGCCAAAAAGCCAAACTCTCTCTCACAGGCGTCTGACAGGGTGGCGATCATCTCCGCCAGCGAGGTCTCTCCACCCACACTGGACAGCCTGTTGTAATCCGTGAACAGAAACCTGCAGCGAGGGACCAGTTAGAACGGCGCTCAGACTCGGGCTGTGACCAGCAACCTCAGCACGGGACAGCGCCCCGGCATGTACACTTCACTTCTTTTTACTGCCTGCAGAACCCGGTTCTAACATTGCGAGGAAGAAAAAGAACTTGCAACCGTCTGCACTTTCAACACCTTACCTACTTTTGTTAGGAAAAAACAATAATAAAAATTGAATGTTGGGGCCAGCGTTATGACACAGTGGGTAAAGCCACTGCCTGTGACACCGGCATCCCATGTGGGTGCCAGTTCGACTCCCGGCTTCTCCTCCTCCGATCCAGCTCCCTGTCTAGGGCCTGGGAAAAGCGGCAGAGGACGGCCCGCACATGGGAGACCCGGATGAAGCTCCTGGCTTTGGCCTGGGCCAGCCCTGGCTGTTGCGGCCATCTGGGGAGTGAACCAGCAAATGAAGAATCTCCCTCTGTTAATCTGACATTCAAATAAATTAACCTTTTTTTAATAATGGCACATAGCAGAGCTAAATAAGTAGCCCGAGAAGGGCAGAAGGAGAAACAGTCCTAACTGCTTACACGGACAGTCGGCATCTCACAGGTCCTGACACAGCGATCTTAAGGTGGCATCTCCGGCCAGAACGTAGCCAGGAGCCACACAAAGAAAGCGCTCTAGTAACAACCAAAGAGATCCGAATGGTGAGAGAATATTCACTACAGTCACTAGGAATTTCAAGTCCAAAGCTAGAAAAAAGGATTCTGAACATTTTTAATACAAAGAAGAGAGTAAGGGGCCGGCGCTGTGGCGCAGCGGGTTAATGCCCTGGCCTGAAGCACAGGCATCCCATATGGGCACCGGTTCAAGTCCCGGCTGCTCCTCTTCCAATCCAGCTCTCTGCTGTGGCCTGGGAAAGAGTGGAAGATGCCCAAGTGCTTGGGCCCCTGCACCGCATGGGAGACTAAGAAGCTCCTGGCTCCTGGCTTCGGATCAGTGCAGCTCTGGCTGTTGTGGGAAACTGAGGAGTGAACCAGTGGATAGAAGCTCACTCTCTCTCTCTCTGTCTCTCTGTCCCTCCTCTTTCTGTGTAACTCTGACTTTCAAATAAATAAATAAAGTGTTTAAGGAAACAGGCAAGTGTACCCCGATGTGAACTTTACACAAGGTATACATGTATTGAAATATGAGGCGGTGTCCCATAAATATGCATCATTTTATGTGTCACCTGAGAAAACTAAGTTTCAAGCCCAGAAATTCCATTTAAACATTTAAGCTTTAGAATGTCTTACATGTACAGGTTCCACATTCTACCAGGGATTCTGCAATAGTTATAAAATATCCTTTCCGCAATTGTTCTTCAAAATAACTGAGTGTTTTGTATTTTGAGTATGTGAATCGTTACTGCTGCGTTAGTTCCTTTCTCCATTCTCTGTATCAAACTCATCTCAATTCAGGAGATAAGCACTGCTTTGAATACACAAGGTGGGAGCACACCACACTCCACTGTGTCATCTTTACCGATGCTGCTTTCACTGCTGTAACAAAAACAGTGCCTCATGACACCGTCTTTCTTCCTTTCTGTAAAAATATTTCCCCAATTATGTTATTCTATTCTTGTAACTCTCTGTTTTTAAAGCCCTTTCACAGTACTCCATCACACGCTAATGACAGCAGTCCCTCCCTCCGTCACAGGGGATTGGTTCCCGGGCCCCCCGCAGGTTCCTCACACAAAGCGGTGAAGCACCTGCACATCCCCGAGCCCACCTTCCCGTGGACTCCCATGTCTCGGTTACTGCAACACCAGAACACCGGGCCTGCTCCGTAAATCCCTGCCATGCCACCCTGTCCAGGACTGGTGCCAAGAGAACGCCTGCACTCTTGAAAACATTTTCAGCCCCCCGTCGGCTGACTGCGTTGGTGAGGAAGCCGGGAGGTGGACGGGGTTAACTATACTGATGAGCATGCGCCTTTATCTTTCTCTCTTGTATTCATGGCTTTGATATTTCACCTCGTGCTTGGTCTATTTGTTTTCTTTTTAAATTACACATATTTTACCTTATAATTTTTAAAATTCTTATTCTTTTTTTTTAAGATTTTTTTTTTTTTAAGTCAGAGTTACACAGAGAGAGAAGCAGAGACAGAGAAAAAGAGAGAGAGGTCTTCCATCCGCTGGTTCACTCCCCAGTTGGCTGCAACACCTAGAGCTGCACCAATCCAAAGCCAGGAGCCAGGAGCTTCCTCGAGGTCTCCCATGCAGGTACAGAGGCCCAAGGACTTGGGCCATCCTCTACTGCTTTCCCAGACCACAGCAGAGAGCTGGATCAGAACTGGAGCAGCTGGGACTTGAACTGGTGCCCAGATGGGATGCCGGCACTGCAGGCAGCGGCTTTACCGCTATATCACAGCACCGGCCTCAAAATTCTTAACTCTTTTAATACACTTTAAAGTTTTTGCTAACTCCTGTTGAACTCTGCTTCTAATTTTCTAACTTTTTCTTTTGTCTTACTCTCCTCTAGAGCCCTCTGCATTTCCTTTATTCCTTAAATGCTCATCATTTCTATTTTCTCATAAATTTCCTATTTGACACGAATAATTATTTTAGACAGCCACCCAAATACATTTTCAGCAGCAGTTTCCTGTTCAGAGCTGCTTCCTGAGGCCACACACTCAGCAGGAGCTTCTGAGCGCCCTCCTTGTGCCGGGACCTCATCTCTGATCATCTCTCCCTCCAAAATGTGTCCCAAAGGATGGCAACAGGTGACGTAAGTGGGGGTCAAAGTCTCTGCTGAAATATAATCAAGTGAACAAAATTAAACAGACTCTGTAAAGAAAGATGCCTCTGACCCTTTAATGTACAAGAGGGAGATATACAATGAAGTGTTTCCTAAATGTATTTCACCAGGCTACCTTTTATTTTTTCCCCCACATAAAAAGTTCAAGGTATGGGCCTGGTGCTGTGGTGTAGTGGGTAAAGCCGCCGCCTGCAGTGCTAACATCCCATATGGGAGCCAGTCTGAGTCCCGGCTGCTGCACTTCCGATCCAGTTCCCCGCTCATGCGCCTGGGAAAGCAGCAGAAGACGCCCAAGTGCTTGGGCCCCTGCACCCGCGTGGGAGACTTGGAAGAAGCTCCCGGCTTCAGATCAGTGCAGCTCTGGCCATTGCAGCCATCTAGGGAGTGAACCAGTGGGTGGAAGATTCCATCTCTCTCTCTCTCTCTCTCTCTCTCTAACTCTGCCTTTCAAACAAATAAATAAATCTTTAAAAAAGCAAGAAGTTGCCTCTGTCACACGGACCAACTCACCTCACAGGCAAAGCTTTCGTTGTCTGCTCTGGCAGTTCTGGTGGATTCACAAACATCAGCTGGAAGAGGAGCTCCAAATAGCCTACATGTCTTGCCAGTCGGGTACTGAGGACCCAGGCCCAATTCCAACTCTCCCCTTCCCTTCGTCCACCAAAGTAAATGACAACTGAAATTGATAGTTCAAAAAATTGAATTAGTAGTCAGGCAGCTTCTTCTCTCCAAACGGTCAAAAATCAAGCAATGACAGCCAAGCTTATGTAACTTCTTATGGTCCCATATGATTTCCTAAGTACTCCTCAGAGAATTTCCCAACGAGCCTCCGCTAACATTCCAAATGTATGGGAGAAGCAAACAGACTAAAGCACGCCTAAGAGTTGAGATCAGAAAGACGACACCTTACACAGAAATGGACCCTCAGTTCAGATTCACCAAGGGCTTGGGGTTTATCACTATCTGCAGTTGTTAAAGATACCAGCTCCTCCTTTTCTTGCAATTGAAGAAAAGGGATTGCATTTTTCAACTTTGCTTTTGGGTAAAATAAAAATCATGGTCATGGCCAGCTTGCTTAAGGGCATGCAACTAGTGGCATAGAGAAGCCTTCTTTAGAAAAAAGACTTGGGGCCGGCATTGTGCACAGAGGGTAAAGCCACTGCCTGCAGTGCTGGCATCCCATATGAGCACTGGTTCAAGTCCCAGCTGTTCCGGTTCCGATCCAGCTCTCTGTGATGTCCTGGGAAAGCAGTAGAAGATTCCCCAGGTCCTTGGGCCCTTGCACCCACACAGGAGACCTGGAGGAAGCTCCTGGCTCCTGGCTTCAGATCGGCACAGCTCTGGCCATTGCAGCCATCTGGCGAGTGAACCAGCAAATGGACGACCTCTCTCTCTCTCTCTCTCTCTCTCTCTCTGCCTCTCCTTCTCTCTCTGTGTAACTCTTTCAAGTAAATAAATAAATCTTTATAAAAAAAAAAAAGACTTATATATAAACCATTAATTAATCGGCAAGGATACTCTAAAAAAATTTATGAAAAATTTGAATTGAAAGATAAGTTTATCTTGGTGAAAAAAAAAAAAAACCTGAGGAAACTCATGCACTTTTTTCGTAAGTTTTTCCCATGAACTTTTTGAAGATTCCTCATGTAAAAGGGTAAGTTTATTAAATCAGAGTGCTGCTTCAATATTAACACACAGTATACCAGCTTTTAGTGCTGTTATTGCCTGGCTATCGACAATGTCCTCTAGGCCAGTTAATAAAATAGTAAAAAGCTCAATTTTCTCATCCAATTATGAAAGCAGGTACCAGTTTAAGAGACACGTATCAATAATGTTTTAAGCAATAAATCTTGCAACTTCCCCCATTTTTAAGAAAACAGAAAAATATGAGACTTACTAAAGAATATATACAAGAGAGCCAAGAAGCTCAGTGACACTGCTATTCCAAGATTTAGGTCAACTGTGAAAGCAAACACCAAACCGAGTCCTCCACAAAACAGCAGGGTAAGAAACACGATGAGCCATGAAAACTGAAACAGAGGTTCAATCTGCTGCCCTGCGAAAGTCTTCATTTCATCTGAAAGAGAGAGCAGCATGAAAAACCTTACTCCCGCTTTGTTTAAGGAACACAACTTCTAAGGAAAACCACAATTTGCACATTTTCAATGCACACATTTATTGGATACTTACTAAGTCACTGGAAACAATGTTTCTACTTAACCCACATTCTCTTTGACACACATAAATGTCAACCACCCTTGCGGTATTCACTCCCCTGCGTCACCCAGCAATGCACAAAGTTCCTTCTCACCCGCACCACAAGCATCCAGAGTTCAGATTCAAATGCAAAAGGCTGGGCTCAGCACTACTTGCAGCTGTGGCGCTACCAGTCCCTCCAAGGGCAGTCTGCCGGATCTGGCTGATACTTAACTTGTGCGGTTTGTGTGACACGAACATGGATATTTCCATGCGCAACAATTAAAGTGATGCTCTGTCTCTGAGCCACCTGGCACCACCACCTTCTCTAGTTCCCCCACCCCTCTGCCGCCCCCACACCTGAGCGTCGGTGACGAGCCCAGATGAGCCCCACACAGGCCGTTCTTCCCACCAAGCCTGGGAAGCCTGGCAGGTGACCCTGAGATCTGCCTTCAAGAATGATGACGACTTTAAGAAGCAAAAAGCCTGCGGGAGGGACTTGGGGGTGATGCCGGGCTGCTCTAGGAAGCTCCCGATGGAGGGAACAACTCGGGAAGAGTGGGACGTTCTTCCAGGAGCGAGCAGTCCTGCCGAATGCAACGCAAGTGCACCCTGCGGCTGCCGGCTGGGCCATGCAGACGGAGAGGCTTGCAAGGGGCTGGAGAACCAACCGGCTTCTGGGGGCTGCGCCGCGCTTCCCATACAGCTGCATCTGACTTAGAAGGAGAACTCAGACGCCCACGCAGAAGATCAACTAGAGGGAGTAAAACCCTAACAGATGTATTTCAGTAAACCAGGTAACCCCCGTCTCACACACAGGGCTCAGGCTCTCTCTTCTCTTCAGGAAGAAAAGCAACAGAGAAAGCCGCGGCGTGTGCACACGCTGTGGAACACACCCTTTACCTTCGAGTTTCTTGAGTAAGAAAGACTTCCCGCTGCCCCACTGTGCGTACAGGCCCACGCAAATGGGCGGCTGCATGGTGGGCTCGCTGAGGATGTCCGCCAGCGCGCTGCTGTACAAGTCGTAGCCAAGCATGTCGCCGTCCGTCTCCGTAGGAGAGAGGTGCCCTGGAACCAGAAACAGCACAGCCCGACACCCCGCGTCACCACACGAGGAAGCCAAACTCATCTGCTGTTTACGTAAATGACTTAAATGTGTAGACCTACGTAAAAATAGTCTCACAGATTCTTAGAAAAATACCATATTTCATGGAATGTGTGCACCTATTGATTTCTGATGTACAACTAAGGAAAATGCTGCCAACTCGTGACGCAAAGCCTTCTTATCCATCACGTGCTAATTTAAAAGATGCCAAAATGTGGAACAATGTGCATCATACATGCAGGGAAATGTAACACAAATGTAACGCAGTACACAGGAATACACTGGATATCTATATACAGAAAGATTCAAAATGTTACAGAAGGATGTAATCACCAGAAAACAAGAAACACTATGGTCTCAGGCAGAAAGGTTTGACAACTTAAAAACAGTAACTCTCCCCCAAATCCACCCGACACTAAGGTAATTCCAATCAAAATCCAGCCCTTGGCCTAGTGGGTAAAAAGCTGCAGCACCAGCGTCCCATATGGGTACCAGTTTGAGTCCCAGCTGCTCCATTTCTGATCCAGCTCCCTGCCGGTGGCCTGGCAGGGCAGCGGAGGATGGCACGGGTGCGTGGGCCCCTGCACCCATGTGGGGGACCCAGAGGAAGTTCCCGGATCCCGAACGGCCCAGCTCCGGCCATTGCAGCTATTTGGGGAGTAAACCAGGAGACGGAAGATCTCTCTCTGCCTCTCCCTCACTCTCTCTCTCCTCGTAACTCTGCATTTCAACAACAACAACAAAAAAAAAAAAAAAAAAAAAAGAAAACCAAGAATATGTAAGAACAGCTAAAAAATAAATTTTAAAGACTACTGATCGGGCCGGCGCTGTGGCTCAATAGGCTAATCCTCCGCCTTGTGGCGCCGGCACACCGGGTTCTAATCCCGGTCGGGGCGCCAGATTCTGTCCCAGTTGCCCCTCTTCCAGGCCAGCTCTCTGCTGTGGCCCGGGAGTGCAGTGGAGGATGGCCCAAGTGCTTGGGCCCTGCACCCCATGGGAGACCAGGAGAAGCACCTGGCTCCTGCCTGCGGATCAGCGCAATGCGCCGGCCGCAGCGCGCCAGCCGCGGCAGCCATTGGAGGGTGAACCAACGGCAAAAAGGAAGATCTTTCTCTCTGTCTCTCTCACTGTCCATTCTGCCTGTCAAAAAAAAAAAAAAAAAAAAAAGACTACTGATCAATAGTCGTCTTTGGAGAAAAACAATAAATACTATAAAACTGTCACAATCTGAATATTTTAGAACCCAAACAGTGTATTAGCATAAGCAGCATTTCAAAGCAGTCAGGAAAAATGAACTATTAAAAGATCTCAATCTCTAACAGCTGAAGACATACATTAAAATGAGAACTCCTTTCTTGCAGATCTGACGAACAAAGATTAAGAGTCTGGAAATGCGCAGGTCAGCAAGGCTGTGGGGAACCGTGCTCTGACACCCCCGGGGGAGGACACACTTGAAACCATTTTGGAGAGTCTATCAGCCCTGCCCACGGAGGGCAATTCCACGTCTGGAAAACTACGCCAAGAAAATTGCCCTACAAGTGAGAGCCAGAGCACGTGCGTACAAGGCTGCTCACTGCAGAGCTTGCTGCCAGCAGCACGGAAACCAAACATTTATCAGCAGAGAACTGACATGTGCCTTCAGAATTTATGAGGACTATGCAGTTAACGTATGACAAGGTTCAGTATTTACAACTTTGATAAGAGGGAAGGACCTTATTTTTCTTTTCTCAATGCTATGTACATAGTATAAAACACTATTATCAATGTAAATACAAGTCTGGGGGGTTATTCAAACAACTACAAGTTGGGAAGTGGGGATAACAGGGAATTTGTGTTTTCTGCTACATACATGTTTTTATTCTTAAAATTTAGTGAACATTACTATTACAATTTAAAAAAATACTTTAAAATACATAACTCACAACAGCACAGAATCATACCTAAAACCAAGATCTAAGTAAGAAGTTAAACTTGAAGATGTCAAGATTTTACTATCTCCTGTTGGTTTCTGGGACTTTTTTAAAAAATTTTAGTGGAAAATTCTTCCATGTATCAAAACATCACAGGGATTGGCACTGTGGCATAGTGGGAAAAGCTGCCACCTGCAGTGCCGGCATCCCATATGGGCACTGGTTTGAGTCCCAGCTGCTCCACTTCCGATCCAGCTCTCTGCTATGGCCTGGGAAAGCAGTGGAAGATGGTCAAAGCCCTTGGGCCCCTGCACCCAGCTGGGAGACCCAAAAGAGGCTCCTGGCTCCAGATAGGCCCAGTTCTGGCTGTTGCAGCCATTTGGGGAGTGAATCAGCAGATGGAAGACCTCTCTCTCTCTCTCTCTCTCTGCCTCTGCCTCAGCCTCAGTGAGACCCACAGAAGAGACAGGTGGGCAAACCACAAAGGCAGAACACTACAGATGCTCAGGCTACACTCGGGGACACAGCCCGTGCTCAGGAGCACAGAGGAAACCTGGGAGAAAGACTTAGAAATGCAGGCTCGACTCTTAGAGGTCCTCACACCTGACACTTGCTCCGAATGCACTCCATGTAGAATGCTAGAACGCAATGCAAAGAATTTGACAGAGAACTACTTTTCTACAGCAAAATAAAACTTCGTTCAACTCTTACATTCTCTGCACAATTGTGACTGGTCTCTTTCATATTTTTAAATAGACATTATTTAAAAGTTCAGCCAGAAACAAAACCCAATACTCACTGGCTCCGAATATCTGAGTTAAAATACTTTTCTGATGGCTACAGTCAATGTTGTACGGCGTCTCGCCTGCTTTGTTGGGCCTATAAAGCAACCGCCCATCTTTGGGATTTCTTAAAAGAAGTTCTGCCAGTTTCCGACTCCTTCCGCGAATGGCAATATGCAAGGGAGTGTCTCCTTTCTGCAAAGACAGCAGGAAATCAGAACTTTCACACATAAAATAAAACACGCCCAGTAGCCACTTTCCTTTTTTGCAGGATAACAGAGAACGTGAACTATTCGTACTTCCCATGGTGAGGGCACACACACTAAACCTTTCATGCCGACCCTCCCCACAGTTCTCCCCACAGTTCCTCACGCAGCGTTTCCTAGACACCGTGGCGCCCACCGCCCTAGACCTGAGGCCACCCTTCTCTTCACTCGACTCCTGCCAGGCCCGGAGCCCACTGCCTCGCTCTCCATCCATGCGGATAGCCACTGTGCAAGGACACGACCGCCTCCCTGGGCTTCCATTCTATTGCACGCTTTCTCCTCATTGGTCTAGAAAGCTCCATCCGCCACACTGATCCCCCCCTCCCCCCCGCCCCAGTGACCTCAGCAGTTCCCAGGGCCAGCACAGCAAGCCTCGCTGCTCCCCGACACCTCCGCCTCGGATTCCCTGACCTCCTCCCATCTTTCTCTGAGCACTGTCACCTGTTCCTCTCTCCTCACTTTCATGCCACCCGAGCACCCGCCTACCCCTGTCCTTGTTAGAAGCTCCAATCACGTTACCATTCTTACCTAAAGCTGATGAAAGCTACTATGTGAAATAGAGATCTTCAGTCCGCAAAGTGTTTACCCATTCGTTACTTCAGAAACACTTCTTTGGAAGACAACCAATGACCCAAAACTTAACAAATAATTCTCTATTCTCATCACCCTGAACTACGACTAAATGAACATGACCTGCAATGTTCTTCCTCTGGTTTCCATAACAACCTTGTCTTGCCTTTCCTCTCTCTCTCATCTGGATTCTCTTCCCATGTCCTAACAGCACCCTGTTATGCACTGAGGACACCCCATGTCCTACCACGGCACCCAGTTCTGCAAGGAGGACTTCCCATGTGCTAACGGAGACCCCGTTATCACTGAGCACTTCCCATGTCCTACCACGGCACCACTACTATGCACTGAGCTCCCTGCACGAGGTAAAGCACTCAGCTGGGCACTTGGGGGGATACAAACACGTTGGATGAAACAGTTCCTGACCTTGAATAGCTTACACTGCCTCAGGAAGAGACCGGGTAAACATGCACGATTAGAAAACAGAGTACAAGAGAACACCGCCACAGGGGGGCACACTCGGCCTCAGTTTCCACTTTCCTCCTACTGACGAGCTCAGTGACTCCCGTGCACCAACCAGCAAACTCCCATCCCCACGCCGACTTCCTGCCCACACTCTGGTCCCACCTCCCAGTGCCCACTGGTCACAGCCTCCTGAATGTCTTACCAGTCACTTAACCAAACGTATCTAAATCAGCCTTCATTGTGTTTCCCTACCTCCATTCCACTGTCATTCCCAAACTGTCAGAAGGCAAAATATCATTTCCGCCAGACACAGAATCTCTGAAATTGGGGGGAAGACATTAACGTACACTGCTACTATGCTGAAGACAACCAGAGAGCAGTGGGTGGCTAGTAAAACAACATTGACCTTTATTCTTAAACTTATTTTTAGGAAACTCCCATGAAAAGACAGGCTCAAGACTTACACAAGCTGGCATCCCAAATTTTGGCAGGACAGCACCTGGCTGCCCTCAGGTATTTAATGAACAACTGTGCCAACCATGTGGACCCGTCAGCTGGCTGCATGCACAGAGCACAAAAAAGGACCCTAAGACAGAGGCTGCAGGGAACCGACCCATGACCATGAAATGACTGTGTATAAACAGCACAGCACACAACCAGTGAGTCTGAAGGGAACCTTGAAGGGCAAATATCCAAGGGCTCCTTACTGAAAACTGGGGGACCACTGTCAGATGTGAATCAATGACAGAACAAGAAAAAATGCAATGTAAGTTTTCATTTTTGAAAAGTTTTGATTTTGTATCCTTAATTTTTAGTAAATATTTAATTTTTAACATTAGTGTTAATGTAATTTAATTTGGCCATGACAAGTGGGAGAGATTTTTTGGTTTCAAATAATATTGTTTTTTTGGTAAAACAAAAAATAAACACAGGAGCAGGCATGTGGCGCAGTGGGTTAAGCTGTTTATTGCAAGACCCACATCCCATTTCAAAGTGCTGGTTCCAGTCCAGCTACTCCACTTCCAAGCCGGCTTCCTGCTAATGTGCAGGGAAGACAGCTGGTGGCGGCCCAAGTGCTTGGGTCCCTGCCAACCACATGGGAGACCCAGATGGGGTTCCAGGCTCCTGGCTTCGGCCTGGCCCAGCCATGGTAGCTGTAGGCATCTGGGGAGTGAACCAGTTAAGTAGATGGAAGGGTTAACCCCCCCCCTCCCTCCCTCTCTCTCCTTCTCTGTCACTCAGCCTTTCAAATAAATTAATTAAATAAATCATTTTTAGGGGAAGAAAAAGAACGTTGAGTCCAGGATTTGTGTTTAAATAACAGAAAGATAAACTTCAACCTATCATGAATTTAAAAAAAACTTAAATCTTATGCCTTCAGAGGGGAATATTTAGAATACTTTTGCTTCATACATAAATCAATTCACTTCTTCCAGAGGGAAAATCAGTTTGAAGCACAGAAATAGGAATCAGTTCTCCATGAAGCAATCAACAATGGAGAGTTACTGCACTACAGAAGTTTCTCAGGGCCGAAGCTGTGGTGCAGCGGTTAACGCCCTGGCCTGAAGCGCCAGCACCCCATATGGGCACCGGTTTGAGTCCCGGCTGCTCCACTTCCGATCCAGCCCTCTGCTATGGCCTGGGAAAGCAGTGGAGGATGCCCAAGTCCTTGAGCCCCTGCATCCTGTAGGAGACCTGGAGGAAGCTCCTGGCTCCTGGCTTCAGATCAGCGCAGCTCCGGCTGTTGCAGCCAACTGAGGAGTGAACCAGTGGATGGAAGACCTCCCTCCCTCCCTCTCTCCCTCCCTCTCTCCCTCCCTCTCTGCCTCCCTCTCTGCCTCCCTCTCTGCCTCCCTCTTTGCCTCTCCTTTCTCTATGTAATTCTGACTTTCAAATAAATAAGTAAATCTTAAAAAAAAAAAAAAAAAAGTTTCTCTAAAAGCAATGCAGCGAGGAGGCGTGGCGAACTCCCGTGTACTTGCAGCGACCCCTAGTGGCGGTCTGCCCTGAGTCTCCTGTCCCCTCTCAGCTCTCCCTCCCGCGCGTCAGCAAGGAGCTCTCCCCTGACGCCGTCCTCCTTGGGGGTCAAGGGCAGCTCCCCAGGACTGGCATCAGCGACAGGAGGAAACCCTGAAGCAGCTTTGCAGGCGGCATACTGACTGCCCACTCCCTTGAACATGCTGGAACACCACGAAAGCCCACCCAGACCTCGCTGCACAAAACCAGGTCGGGACGGCCCGGACGGTGCGTCCGCCGGCAGGTGTCCGGCGCGAGCTCTGGCTGCGCAGGCGCGTTACCTTGTCCACAGCGGACACCTTGGCCCCTTTATCCAGCAGCAGCTCCACGACCTCGATATTCCTCATCTTGGTGGCCTTTATGAGAGGTGTTTCGCCGTCCTGCACACACAGGTAGGAAGGGTTACCAGAGAAACGGCCCTATTACTCCCACATAAACACACGCAGCAGGAAGTATCTGGCTCCAGTAACAGCCCGTATCTTCAATGTTCCCAAGAAAACATAGTTGATGAAACTAACACCACACTCACTCACCTGCACCAGTCACTTTAACCACTCAGCCCCACCTGTGCGAAGGGAAGCACACTACACCCAGCCCGGGCCACGCCAGTGTGCCAAGGATACACTATCCGCAATGAAGTCAGGAGAACTCTCACATCAGAGACGACTGAAAACGAGGGGCGGTGCTCGGCACCGCCACCACGACGGAAACCTCGCCGGTACCTTCGTACACATCTCCGTGTCAGGGTTGCACTGCAGGATGTCTCGCACCATCGTGGCATTGCCCTTCTCAACAGCCCAATACAAAGCTGTCTTGTTGTCCTGTAGAATGAAAGAACATTAGCAATACGTTCACATCAGACACATGCTAAAAACTGCTGTACGTGAATGTAAAATACCACGAATTTCTGCCAGAAAGCGTCTCAAGACGCGGCACGGTGGGAAGTAATGAATGAATCCTCACACTCTCACATTTACTCTTGAGAAATTCTTTATGAAAGAAGCCCGGGAACACTTAATATTGTTTGACTTAACAAGCAGAAATTCCACAGTTAATGCAGTAATGGACACTTCTGCAATCAGATTTCAGAAACACGCACTGGACTAGAAATCACACCAACAGCTCGAGTTCCGCGGAAAAGTCACTTAAATACCCTGACACGCGAATTCTCATGTGTAATACAGAATACCCACACCTGCCTTGTGCTTCCAAGGACAGTGAAGGATTTACCTCCCCAACAGATGGCATTATTGATTTTGTAGCCTTTAGGTTTCTCAGTCTCCACCCTCTTGGCACCCTCTATGGTCTTGACCAGATCCCTTGGCATCCTACCTACTGGAACACTGATCCCCACGGGTCTGGAAAGCAAAGCCAGTGAACAAGACAACTGATCAAAGCATAGGAGAACAGGACTGCCAGGCACAGAGCTATGAGCAGGGCTCTAGCCGACTTCGAATGAAAATCTGACTTTAATCCACAAGGTAACGACTGCCTGCCGCCGCCACCGCCACGCAGCATCTCCCGTGCCCCGACTTCCCCGCAGGAGCCCCCCAGACGCAGTCCACAGACCTCTCTAGCCCGACCTCCCTGTCCCTCTCCCAGCAGCCCCACCACAGCACCGCCAAGCTGATTCACCCACTGGCTAGGGAGCACAGTCTCCCTTCCCCGTTCTCTCCAAGTGTCTCACCCTGTCTCCACCGCCCCTGCCCAGACAGCCAGCCTGCCTGCGCTCTGCCATCTAAATCCAACTTCTCTGTCACACCCCCAATTCCACTTTCCTTCAGAAGCCTTCTTCCTTAACGCCCTCTCTGCCACCTCAAAACTCGCAAATCGGAACCCTTTTCTAGGTGGTCAATCATACACCCTCTGTGGCTACACTGCCTATGTTTCAATAAAAGGATAAAAATAAACAGCTCTGACTTCTGAATTAGATTATGTCTCTCTTACATGCAACGGTCCCATGCTAACTTCTCCATAGCATTCGGCATACTATTTGTTAGTCTGATTGAAAAATAGACTTGAACGCAAGAATTTTAGCTAAATACAAGGAAAAACTAAGCAGAGCTGCAGACCGTGCACAATAGGCTGCCAATAACATTTTTCTTTCATCTGAAGCTCCTGAAGTTTTAGTTAAACTACAACTTTGGCAAGGCTTCTATCTAAAACTACTCCTCTCTGTGTCTCCAGCAGCCACGACTGCCTTGGGCACAGGCCACAGGCACTACCAGGTGCTCCCAGGAAAGGCAGGCGGACCGGCGACAAAGGAGAATTAAGCAGAATAGAAGAGGAGCATGTGGATGAAGAAGACAAACACGGGGATAAGCGTGGGAAAACAAAGAGGGAACACCCAGCCCAAGTGGCACCCGCTGCTCGGATCACCAATCACTCATTTTGGAACTGAATATGTACACCTCAGTAAAAGCCCTGAGGTTCTTCCTGGTTTACTTCTATTGAAGTTTAACACTGATACAGAAATCTGTAATAATGGAAGGGAATAATAACGGACATGCACTAAGCCTGCTGGGGTTTGTGAGTTTTCCTGCACAGGAAAGTGGGAAGAAGGACGTGACAGTGAGTGAACACACAAATGAACAGGCCCCAGACGACTTCAGCGCTGTCACACGCACCTGGCCCTTGATGTCGATGTCGGCGTATTTCTGGAGCAGCGCACGGACGATCTCCACGTGTCCCCCTCTGACAGCACCGATCAACACGGTGTCCCCACTCTAGAAAGACAAAAAACTCCACTGAATAAACAAGCTGTTTGAAGCTAGGGTTATTTGTTTATTAAAATGATAGAAATTTGCTGCCAACTTCTTAGAAAAAGAGCCTATATCTAAGAGAAAATTCTAAATGAATTATATCAATACTTGAGATTGTCTTTTTTTTTTTTTTTGACAGGCAGAGTGGACAGTGAGAGAGAGAGACAGAGAGAAAGGTCTTCCTTTGTCGTTGGTTCACCCTCCAATGGCCGCCGCGGCCGGCGCACCGCGCTGATCCGATGGCAGGAGCCAGGAGCCAGGTGCTTCTCCTGGTCTCCCATGGGGTGCAGGGCCCAAGCACCTGGGCCATCCTCCACTGCACTCCCTGGCCACAGCAGAGAGCTGGCCTGGAAGAGGGGCAGCCGGGACAGAATCCGGCACCCCAACCGGGACTAGAACCCGGTGTGCCGGCGCCGCTAGGCGGAGGATTAGCCTAGTGAGCCATGGCGCTGGCCGAGAATGAGAAGTTTAGAAAGATTACCCAGAATCAGTCTTTCTCTGAGAAGGTAAATTCACACTGCGAATGTAAATGGAACACAACGGCACTGTGGCTGCCACCGAGCCAGGTGGATGTGCAGATCACACACTGAAAATCCCTCAGCACAGTGCCATGTGACAAAGGCCTGGAGCTCAGAAACGGGAGCCACAAAGCTAAAGCTATGCGTAGGTCAACAGCCACATCTGGTTAAGGGAGAAGCGCGGCTCCCACGCAAGCACCCACAAGGACTTCAGCCACTTTGGCAGTCCCAGGCCAGTGGCACAGGAGTCACTCCTCCCCTGCTGTAAGACGCTAAGTCCCTAATTCGGAGGACGACTCTTTGCCCTGAAATTACATTCACCACGCAACAATTATTTTTAACTGTATCTTCCTATTACTTCAAATACTAGAAATGGCTATTCTGCCAACAGGCATGAATATTATTTATTGCCAAACTGTTGCAGGCTTGGGGGTTGGATGAACCCTAAGTTGTGCTCAGTCACCAGGCCACAAATCGAGATGCAGGCCCATCAAAGTACCTGGACACTCGGCTTCTGATGGGCCCTCCTAACACATCCTGGGAGGCAGCAGATGTTGGCTCAAGGACTTCAGACCCTGTCACCCATGTGGGAAACCCAGATGGAGTCATGGATCCCTGGCTTCCACCCTACCCAGCCCTAGTTATTGTAGGCATTTGGGGAGTAATCCAGCAGATGGAAGATTTGTCAGTCTCTCCTTGAGGTTTAGCACTATAACAGAATATCTTAACTCCCACATTAAAATAGGGGCCAGCATGGTGGCGTAGTGGGTAAGGCTGTCACCTGCAGTGCTGGCATCCAGTATGGACACTGGTTCTAGTCCAGTTCCCTGCTAATGGCCTAGGAAGGCAGCAGAAGATGGCCCAAGTACTTGGACCTCTGCCACCCACGTGGGAGACCTGGAAGAAGCTCCTGGCTTCAGTCTCGTCCAGGCCCAGCTGGGCAGCCCCTGGCATTGCAGCCATCTTGGGGATGGACCAGCGGACGGAGATCTCCCTCTCTCTCTGTCTCTATCTCTGTCTCTGTCTCTGTCTCTCCCTCTCTCTGTAACTCTGACTTCTAAGTAAATAAATAGTAAATAAAAAATCTTTTAAAAGTAAATAAAGAGAGCCGGCGCCGTGGCTCAATAGGCTAATCCTCCACCTTGCGGCGCCGGCACACCGGGTTCTAGTCCCGGTTGGGGCGCCGGATTCTGTCCCGGTTGCCCCTCTTCCAGGCCAGCTCTCTGCTATGGCCAGGGAGTGCAGTGGAGGATGGCCCAGGTGCTTGGGCCCTGCACCCCATGGGAGACCAGGAAAAGCACCTGGATCCTGGCTCCTGCCATCGGATCAGCGCGGTGCGCCGGCTGCAGCGGCGGCCATTAGAGGGTGAACCAATGGCAAAAAGGAAGACCTTTCTCTCTCTGTCTCTCTCTCACTGTCCACTCTGCCTGTCAAAAATTAAAAAAAAAAAAAAAAAAGTAAATAAAGAAATAAAGCAGAAATAAACTCAAGGCAGACAAATTTTAGTTGAGAAAGCTGGCATTAACATGGGTGCATACCAGTAAATTTAAAAAAGATACTAAAGATTTCAATGCTTACAATGTGCAATGTACCATTCTAGGCTCTGCGGAAAAAAGCAGGCCACCTCCCAGCTCTGGCAGAAAAGGTCAATGCATAATGAAGAAAAAAAATCAAACAATATGCAAATAAATTAAAGCAGGGCCACGTGACAGAAAGTGACGGGCAGCTCCCCTGGGTGGGGTAGCTGAGAGCCTGAGAAGGCAGCATGTGGCTGAGGTGGAGTGACAGGAAGACAGCAGGACAGACTGCACACAGCTGGTACAGAGGACCCACAACAGGAACCACTCCGTGATGGGGAGGGGGCTGCAGCCTGCTGCAACAGGGCCCAGAGCCGTGCAGAATGAGGCCGGAGTCAGGCAAGGACACTCTCATGAACTGTCTATAGAAAGGTAATACTGGGGCCGGCGCTGTGGCGTAGTGGGTAAAGCCTCCTCCTGTGGTGCCGGCATCCCATACAGGCACTGGTTCGAGTCCCGGCTGCTCCACTTCTGATCCAGCTCTCTGGGATAGCACTTGAGCCCCTGCACCCACGTGGGAGACCCAGAGGAAGCTCCTGCTCCTCGCTTCGGATCAGCGCAGCCCAGCCATTATGGCCATCTGGGGAGTGAACCAGCGGATGGAAGACCTCTCTCTCTCTCTCTCTCTCTCTCTCTGCCTCTGCCTCTCTGTAACTCTGCCTTTCAAATAAATAAATGGGTAATACTTATCCTACCTACAGTAGGAGCCTTGGGTGCTGTTAAGCAAAGGAGTACATGTGAGATTTCCTGTTTTAAAGATCACTGATAGAACAGAGTGAACAAACTGGAGGTAACAGCGGAACCAGTTCCAAGGCTCCGGCTTCAATGATGAGGGTTTGTGGTTTATGACGGGGTGACAGTGGAGAAGAAGAGTGGGTGTTTAAAGGGTACGTTCTGCAATAGAATAAGAACTGAAGGACTAGACGGGGTGGGTAAGAAAAGACAGCCATCGAAGCAGAAGCTTTCGCAGCAGGGTGGATGGTGGTACCATTCGCTGAGATGGAGAGGCGGGGGTGGGGGACAAGTAAGGATTTAAAAACAAGACATTGTCTGGCATAAACTTAAAAAACCCATTAGACAATCAAGTGGTAAGTTCAAATAAGAGCTGGATATGTAAGTATGAGCTCAAAGAAGTCAGGGCAAAATAAAGAATCTTGAAAAAAAAAATTTAAGATTGATTATTTACTTGAAAGCCAGAGTTACAGAGAGGAAAAGAGAGAGCGGCCATCTGCAGGTTCACTCCCTAGATGGCCATAACAGCTGGGGTTGGGCCAGACTGAAACCCGGAGCCCGGAGCTTCAGCCAGGTCTCCCCCATTGGTAGCAGGAGCCCACTCAGGCTATCCTCCACTGCTTTTCCCAAGCCATAAGCAGGGAGCTGGATCAGAAGTGGAGCAGTCAGGACACAAACTGATACCCATATGGGATTCCAGCATCATGGGTGGTGTCTTAACCCACTACACCGCAGCACCCCAGAATTTTGAAAATCTTCAAATGCAAAGGTGGGACCTACACCTCTGGAATAGTGAGTAACATCACCTAGAGTGAGAGAGAGCAAGGACAAGGACAGGCTAATGCGACAGGTAACACTTCCAGTAACAAACTATTCAACAAAAATAAAACAAGACATTCTTCAAAAGATCAGCTCTTAACCCAGTAGTTTCAAAGTAGACACTGAATTTGTTATCTTAACACAAGTGGCAGCCGGCGCTGTGGCTCAATAGGCTAATCCTCCGCCTTATGGCACCGGCACACCGGGTTCTAGTCCCGGTCGGGGCACTGGATTCTGTCCCGGTTGCCCCTCTTCCAGGCCAGCTCTCTGCTGTGGCCCGGGAGTGCAGTGGAGGATGGCCCAAGTGCTTGGGCCCTGCACCCCATGGGAGACCAGGAGAAGCACCTGGCTCCTGGCTTCGGATCAGCACAGTGCGCTGGCCACAGCGTACCAGCCGCAGCGGCCATTGAGGGGTAAACCAACGGAAAAAGGAAGACCTTTCTCTCTGTCTCTCTCTCTCACTATCCACTCTGCCTGTCAAAAAAAAAAAAAAAAACAAGTGGCAGAAGCTGGAGAGGTGGCGGCGAGCAGCAGCCACGGCAATCTTCCATCCATCCATTCCACCAGGAGAAGCGTCTGGAGCAGGTGACCCACCCGGTCAGGTATGTTCACGTATGTGCCGGCATCAAGCAGATCCTGGACAATTTCCGTGTGCCCCTCCTTTGAGGCGATCATCAGAGCTGTGTTTCCATCCTTATCCGTCAAGTTGACATTAGGATTCCTCTTCAAAATCTCTTTTACTGACTGTGTGTACCCTCCTTTCACTGCCACAATGAGAGCAGTCATTGAATTCTAGAAAAAAAGGAAAGCCCAAGAGATTAGTAAATCCTAGAAAATAAAGGTTCACGCCACATACATGCAGTGTCTGTAAGTATGTGGCTGATTATGAAGTTACTTCTGATAATAAAATGCCAACATGAATAACGAGATACACAGTGAAAGTGGGCAGCAGTCAGTTTCACTTTTGGAAGATAACATTAATTCTTTTGAGTCATAGGACTACTCAGCTCTTTAGGTGATAGTCTGAAATCAGACTCATTTACAGCAAACGCTCCCACTAAGGCTCTGAATTACAATAAGAGTGGACAAGGTGACTCAAAATTAGAAACACCATAAATCAGTACAAACTAAGGTGAAATCACACAAGTTATGAATTCTTTGCGGGACTAGAGCAGTGGCACAGTGGGCTAAGCTTTCGCCTGAAGCGCTGGCATCCCAGTGGGCACCGGTTCTAGTCCCGGCTGCTCCTCTTCTGATCCAGCTCTCTGCTGTGGCCTGGGAAAGCAGTGGAAGATGGCCCAAGTGCTTGGGCCCCTGCACCCACGTGGGAGACCTGGAGGAAGCTCCTGGCTCCTAACTTTGGATCAGCTCTGGCCATTGCAGCCATTTCGGGAGTGAACCAGTGGAAGGAAGACCTTCCTCTCTCTCCCCCTCTCTCTGCAACTCTCTCTCAAATAAATAAATAAAATCTTTAAAATAAAAAAAAAATATTTGCAAAAAGCCTATAGGAAAAACTGAAATAAAACAATGACTTCAAAGTTACAGGATATTTCAAGGAAGTACAATAAGAAGGGAAGGATACAGGGTGGGAAGTATCGTTACGCTCACACAACCGTATGTATGAAATACATGCAATCTGTTCCCTTTATATTAATAAAAAAGGCAAAAAATAGCTGTAAGATACTTCGAGGAAAGTGTAATATATGCTCATTTACACTGATCCAGAAACCAAATGTTTAAAAGTATCTTAAAAAATTCTTTTAAAAACTATAGTCTAGGGGCCGGCGCTGTGGTGCAGCAGGTTAAAGCCCTGGCCTGAAGCGCTGGCATCCCATATGGGCGCCGGTTCTAGTCCCAGCTGCTCCTCTTTTGATCCAGCTCTCTGCTATGGCCTGGGAAAACAGTGAAGATGGCCCAAGTCCTTGGGCCCCTGCACCCACGTGGGAGACCTGGAGGAAGCTCCTGGCTCCTGGTTTCGGATCTGCACAGCTTTGGCCGTTGCGGCCATCTGGAGAGTGAACCATCGGATCTCTCTGGCTCTACCTCTCTCTCTTTCAAATAAATGAAATAAATCTTAAAAAACAACAAAAAACAAAACAAAACAAAAATCCTGCTTCCTGAGATTTAGCTCTACATTTGGATGTCCTAGAAAGATTCCAGTTATTAGATCAGCCCCAGAACTGAGCCCTAATTCTCTCACGCAGTGGAGTAACACGAGCGTGAGCAGTACTCATCACCCAGGCCCTGACAACGCTGGCCAGAAAAGAAGCCAGGGAGGTGGACATCCACGGCTGCCCACGAATCCTGCGCTGGCGGCCCACCGTGCAACACCAGCAGACGCCCGCTGAGGGTCAGCCATCGGCAGGGACCAGGAGGGGCTGCTACCGTGCCACTGTTGGCCCAGTAGGATGCAAGTTTTTTCTCATTTCTCTGTGGTCACGTTTGGGGGCACCTCTCCTCAGAAGCGTCCGTGACCCACTTCACACAATACAGCAATCAAGTTAACAGTAGTCTGCGTTACTGTTTGGGGGCATAAACACTGCTTCCTTTAGCTATATTCTGATGGACTCATGGGAAAAGCCAAATGTTGGGCTTTCCCCCTTCTACCCTGCAGACTTGGCACGGCACGTGCTCATTAGGGCATTACTGCTAATCACCAAGATGGATTTAACCAATGTGTACGCTTCCTCGGTTTTTTGTTTGTTTTTTTTTTGTTTTTTTTGGTTTTTTTTTTTTTTTTTTTTTTGACAGGCAGAGTGGACAGTGAGAGAGACAGAGAGAAAGGTCTTCCTTTGCCGTTGGTTCACCCTCCAGTGGCTGCCGTGGCCGGCTCGCTGCAACCGGCGCACCGCGCTGATCCGAAGGCAGGAGCCAAGTGCTTCTCCTGGTCTCCCATGGGGTGCAGGGCCCAAGCACCTGGGCCATCCTCCACTGCACTCCCTGGCCACAGCAGAGAGCTGGCCTGGAAGAGGGGCAACCGGGACAGAATCCGGCGCCCTGACAGGGACTAGAACCCGGTGTGCCGGCGCTGCTAGGTGGAGGATTAGCCTGTTAAGCCACAGCGCCGGCTGCTTCCTCGGTTTTAACAGCCGATTTCTGACTTTTTAATCTGTTTAATGAAGAAGAAAAATAAGGCACTGTTTAAAATATCCAAAAAATTACATTACTGCTTTAAAGAAAAAACTCTGGAGGGCAGCACTGTGGCACAGTGAGTTAAGCCACTGCTTGCAACCAGGCATCCCTTCTTGGAGCACTGGTTCAAGTCCTGACCGCTCCACTTCCAATCTAGCTCCCTGTTACTGTGCCTGGGAAGGCTGCTGATGACCCAAGTGCTTGGGCCATGCCACCAACGTGGGGGCCCCAATGGAGTTCCTGGCCTGTCCCAGCCCTGGCAGCCACCGGGGAGTAAACCAGCCGACAGCGGATTTCCCTCTGTCTCTCTCCCTCCCTGTCACTCTGCCTTTCAAAGAACTAAATCAAGCTTGAGAGGAAGGCAGGCAGGCAGGCAGGCAGCAAAGGAAAAATTCCAATGGGGCACAACTTTCTTCCAGAAGTGATGTTCTTTTTGTTATTCTTTTTAAAATGTTTATGTGCTTACTGATTTATTTGAGGTGCAGAAAGAGAGAGAGAGCTACAAAGCAGAGAAAGCCCGTCCTCTGGTTCATTCCCTAAATACCCACAAAGGCAGCCTAAGTGGAGCCCAGGAGCCAGGAATGCAACCAGGGCCTCCAATACGAGTGACAAAGACCCAATCACTCAAGCCATGACGCGGCAGTTCTCCAGATGCAGGCCAGAAGGACGCTAGGTTCCAAACTGGAGCCAGGGTCTGAACCTGGGCACTTGGGTGAACCATCTGGCAGCTTAACCATTAGGTTAAACACCCTCTCCACAAATGATATTAAAAACTACTTGATTTGGGGCCAATGCTGTGGCATAAGTTAAACCTCCACCTGCAGTGTCGGCATCTCATACCGGCACCGGTTCAAGTCCTGGGTGCCACACTTCTGATCCAGCTCCCTGCTAATGTGACACAGAAGGCGGCCCAAGTGCTTGGGCCCCTGTACCCATGTGGGAGACCTGGAAGAAGCCCCTGGCTCCTGGCTCCTGGCCTGACCCAGCCACAGCCTTTGTGGGAGTGAACCAGCAGATGGATGATCTGTCTCTCTCCTCTCACTGTATCTGTGTTTCAAATAAATAAATAAGTAAATCTTAAAAAAAAAAAAACTACCTGATTTAAAGAAATTTACAGATAGGATAGCCTAAAACTACTAAGTAGATAGTTTTAATCTTAACTACATAATTAAATACACACTAGTATTAAATTTATACCAAGATAAAAATTATTGCTTATAGTTTTAGCCTATCAAAATGTATGTTCCCTAGCAAAAGATCCTTAAAAGCACATTTTTACAGTATATTGCAATTTTAAAACATTTATAATAGACTTAGAATAACAGAAGGAAACTGCTTGCTTTCCTAAATTAACATCACCTAAGAACTGGAAAGAAATTTTTCTAGGCATATACCGTGAAATATATTCCTCTTCTTAAACCAAAACATCTCTCTATTACCAACATTAAAATACACAAAAGATACTCACAGCTCCCTCCTGATCAACATCAGCTCCCATGGCCAACAGATGTCTCACACATTCCAGATGGCCCTTGCGTGCAGCCCAGACCAAAGGGGTGGTTCCATACTAGCAAAACACACAGCGGACACAAGTCAGTACCACAGCAGTGAGGTAAGCTAGCTCTCAATGTGGCTTTCTATTAAAAAAAAAAATCATACCATCAGCATTCTCAGATAACCACAGACGCCAATTTTAAGCCTAGGTTAGCCCACGTGCCCCATTTTATTTCTCTGAATAAAGGACTAACCACTGCACCACACGTCTTTACTGAGCTCCCACCATCAGGACAACCGTCACCACACAGTCCAGCATTTCAAGAAGTTCGCGCCGACTCAGTCTGCGCACAAATCAGCCTCTGCACTTGGTAGCCTCAGCCCAGAAACTCAGCCAACAGCCCCTCCCCAGCAAGGGCAGTTAAAAGCGCCACGGCACACACAGCATGCGTGAAGGCAGAGCTGGGCCTTCGAGGACCTGGCAACCAGACATGTGAACACCCACAGTGACCGTTAAGTATGGGAGCCAGCGATGCAATCAGCGTTTAGTGAACTCCTACTCTCCACAAAGCCCTGTCCATCACGACTCTCAGTGTTGATGCTCTATGGGGCGGGCGCTGTGGCGTAGCGGCTAAAGCTGCTGCCTGCAGTGCCGGCATCCCAGACGGGTGCTGGTTCGAGCCCCAGCTGCTCCACTCCTGATCCAGCTCCCTGCTAATGCGCCTGGGAAAGCAGTGGAAGATGGCCTAAGTGCTTGAACCCCTGCGCCCACATGGGAGACCTGAAGAAGCTCCTGGCTCCTGGCTTCACATTGGCCCAGCACTGACCATTGCAGCCATTCAGGGAGTGAACCAGTGGATGGAAAATCAGTCCCTCTTCCTCTCCCTCTCCGCCTTTCAAATAGATAAATAAATCTTTGAAAAAAGAAAGAAAGAAAATGCTCTGTAATTCTGTGTGGGCCAATGGAGCAGCCACTGGTCGAGTTTAAGTAGTAAGTGCTTACAGTGAGGCTGGTGTGACTGAGGGCCTACATTTTTACTTCCGTTTTAGTTGATTTAAGCCTAAACAGCCGTATGTGACTACTAGCACTATATTGGGCAGCACGGACGCTGTCACAAGGCTGCCCACACAGCACACGGGAGCAGCAGGCACATCGAGGAGGCAGACAACGAGGCGTGAGCAGCAGCCACAGCCACTGCCTCAAAGCAGGGACAGGGACGTGGGAAGAGGCAGCCAGGAGGACTCCCTGCCACAGCCCCGATCTGCAGTCTCCTCCCAGAGTTAGAGTCCTTCTAGGCTCCTCCTCTGTGGATAACATTTAGTTACCTGACCAGATCTACAGATCTTTCAGGCCATTTTTTTTCTTTCTAAAGGTTCTGCTGTATTCTAAACCGACTGACCCTCTGAGTTTTCAATTCCTTTACCACCTCTGACACCCTCCTGATAGTCAGCCCTTTGTCCACAGTGTCACATCACTGCTGCCCTGCTACCAAGTCCACACACACCTGTGACCTCAGGGCCAGCTCTGCACAGCCCCTTGTCCCGTCCGTCCCCTCCCTCACCAGCAGGATGCCTTTAGCCCTGGGGCTCCGGCCCTTCATTAACAATTAGTTCCCAGGGCCAGGCTTTGTAGCACAGAGATCAGCCCACAGCTGGGACACCCACGTTCCCTATCAGAGCTCCTGCATGCAAGCTCTGGCTCCACTTCTGATCCTGCTTCCCATTAACGTGCACGCTGGGGATCGGCGGGCGCTGGCTCAGCTCCCTGGGTCCCTGCCGCCCTCATGGGAGATCTGGATGGAGCTCCAGGCTCCTGGCTTTGGCCTGGCCCACCCCTGGCTGCTGCAGGCTTTTGAGGAGGGAACCAGCAGATGGAAGATCTTTCTCTTTCACTGCCTTTCAAATAAATAAAATTTAATTAGTTCCCATAGAAACCTCATTCTCTCTCTATCAACGATAAACAATTCTCTGTCTTCAATGCATCCCTTGGGGCACTGTCAAGGACAGATTCTTCTTAAATACCACTCTGTGCCAGCCGCCTGCTCAGCCTCCTCCTCTCCCCTCCACCACCCCGCTGATTCGCAGGGACCACCGGGCAGTAGGTGTTCAGGTGTGGCTACACGTACAGCCAGGGCTTCCTCCCACACAGCCTCTCCCCACACCCAGCACAGCCCTCCCCTTATTGGTCTGCTCAGTACCACCCAACAAACCGTGTGAAATCACAAGGGGCCTTGGTTCTCGTTCTCCTGTGCTGAGGTCAATCTCCATGGATGGAAATTCTGCCCATCCTTCAAGGTCTAGATTAAGTCTGGCTCAGCTATCAGTGAATCCTCCCACTGCCTAGTCCTAAGCCATCTGACCCCTGGCCTTTGCATTTCACAGCGCCCTGCTTGTCTACTTGCTTCTCTGAACAGAGATCTTTTCTTCTTAGTTTTTGCATCTTGGACATTAAGTACAAGACAGGACGCTGCACACAGTAGATACTGAAGATTTTCTCAAAACGCCAAAAAGAGTTACAGAGTAGGCAGCATAACATCTGACTCTGGAGGGACTAGAATGCCAAGCTACGTTAATTTTCCTATAGGCCAGAAGGAGAAAATAAAAGTTTGTGAAATTAAATTTTCAAATCAGAAATACCAACAGAAGGAACTGCATCCATTTGACATACCTCAACCTCGGAGTCAAAGTGAATTTGCCAACGGTACAAAATGCAGACCTCCTCAGTGCCAGATTATAAACACACGGAGTGGCCTCCCTACATTCCTCACTAAGCTATTACTTTGTGCAAAACTCCTTAAAATGAGGCATAAAGTGCACTCCTGCTCTCATCCTCAGTGTACCCCTTCCTCGTCGATGGCGTGTCTGTGCCCGTCAAGCACTGTCAGACTAAAGGACAGATCACATCAGCACTCCCATAGGCTGAGTGGCACTGCTCTCCTTAAAGAAATTTATGCTTGAGGTCGGCGCTGTAGCATAGCAGGTAAGGCAGCCATCTGCAGTGCCAGCATGCCATGTGGGCACCAGTTCGAATCCCAGTTGCTCCACTTCCGATCGAGCTCTCTGCTATGGCCTGGGAAAACAGTGAAGATGGCCCAAGTGCTTGGGCCCCTGCACCCACATGGGAGACCCAGAAGCAGCTCTAAGCTCCTGGCTTCAGATTGACCCAGCTCTGGCCATTGCAGCCATCTGGGGAATGAACCAGTGGATGAAGGACACACATCTCTCTCTCTCTCTCTCTCTCTGTTTTCAAATAAATAAATAAATATTTTTCAAAAAAGAAAGAAATTTATGCTCAGAATCTATTCCAGTTACAAAAAATAAATCTTTTTTTTTTTTTTTGACTGGCAGAGTGGACAGTGAGAGAGAGAGAGACAGAGAGAAAGGTCTTCCATTGCTGTTGGTTGACCCTCCAATGGCCGCCATGGCCAGCGCACCGCACTGATCCGATGGCAGGAGCCAGGTACTTATCCTGGTCTCCCATGGGGTGCAGGGCCCAAGTACTTGGGCCATCCTCCACTGCCCTCCCTGGCCACAGCAGAGAGCTGGCCTGGAAGAGGGGCAACCGGGACAGAGCCCGGCGCCCCGACCGGGACTAGAACCCGGTGTGCCGGCGCCGCAAGGTGGAGGATTAGCCTAGTGAGCCGCGGCACCGGCCAAAAAATAAATCTTGATAGCTGTTACCCTATAAATAGCTATATTGCTGTTAATCTAAAAAGAACATAATTTTCCCAACAATGTGCCAAAACACCCAACGGAAACAATGGAGGCACAAAATGAAATGATCCTTTATCGTCATGGAACCCGCTCTCTGGTGCAGGAAAGGCCTGGCATTACTCAGTGCAGGGCAGCAGGTGCTGCGCTCTAACGGGAGTAGAGGGTCAGCAATGCAGAGCCCCCGTGAGCCATGGGAACGGAACAGGAGCTCATCAGGCAGAGGAAGCGGTCATGTTCTTGGCTGAGGGAGGAATGAAGCGCGCAGAATGTTGGACAAACAGCCACATGCAAAAGCATGCGCTGGGTTTAAGGCACGGAAGGACAAGAGAGCGCCTGGAGGACAGGCTAAAGCCACGGGAAGCCCAGGCTCTGTCCTCCAACAGTGAGAGCCACCGAAGCTCTGCAGAGCCAGGGAGAGTAAGCTCAGCAGAAAGGGGGTGCGGAGGATCTCCCTGGACATGACCAGAATGACATTCTGGAAGCGACGGCAAATCAGCCACGCCTCGGAGATGCATGGAAGCCGAGGCAGGCGAGGGGGGCAGGGCGTGGCACCCAGCCCAGAGGCACAGGAGGCGTGAAGGCAGCGTGGGGCAGTGGGCACACGAGCAGGAGAAGAGGGAGAAGGGGAGGCCAGGCCCATCTGCACCCAGCACCAGGGTGGTCTTTGGTACGAGAGACAGAGGACTAAACCTGGACTTTGGAAAAGTCGTCCCTGCCGGAGAAAGCAGGTAGACTGAAGATGGAAAAAGAATTACACAGAAAACTTCAAATGGTGGCGACAAGGAATCCACCCCTCTGCTTACGAAAGACGATCATCAGGACACTTAGTACATGATACACATAAGGGATCCCTCCACGAGACAGAAATCTATTCTAAATATATTAATACACAAAAACACACGATGCCACAGAGCAGTCTCCTGAGATCACATGAACACGCCCGCGTAACTTCCCCGGCGAGCGGTCGCGACAGCAGCTGGAGTCGGCCGCCACCCGCAACCCACCTTATCGGAGCAGTTGACTTTAGCGCCGTTCTGCAGCAGAAGATGCACTATCTCCGCGTGGCCTCTGCCCGCTGCCCAGATGATCGGGTACACGCTGTACTGCTGGGATAGACAGGGAGGCCGGGAGGGGCACAGGGAGGGGAGGGGACGGAGAGAATCTTTTAGGCAGGCGTTCAAGTGTGACATCAACAGGAGTGACACAGAGTAAGTTTTTCTGAATTCTGTTACACCCATTCTCCACCTCAAAACACACAATAGATCACTGGCAGCTGAAATGCACTCAACCATAAAAACGCATGTATTAGGAACACATTGATTTTCATAGACTCAGTACACTTAATGTGACTAGTCAACAGGCAAGATCAGCAAGGATATACGATTAAAAACAGAAAGCACGGAAAAAAGGCATGGGTATTTGATAAATGCCTCTTTAAAGAATTTCAGATTATGGATGCAAAATCACAAAAATAAAATGATTAAAGATTTCAAAATCTCCTTTTGAAATGTTACAGACAGAACTGTAACTAACACTTAAGCTCTAGTAGGTGCCTTTCTGTTGATTAAAAAAATGAGAAATAAACTTAAGGAAAAAAAATCTCATTTTGTTTTGAAACCACATTCTAATAACAGGTCTAATCAGATGTGGAAATTTTCTATCCACTGTGAAGTCAAGTATAATCAGCCGTAAGCATTCCCTTACCACTCACCACTTACGTAACGAGTGGATTTTCTTTAACCCTTACCAGACCAGTGACGCTCGGGTTGGCGCCATACGAAAGAAGCAGTTCTACAACTTCAGTCCGGCCTTTATAGCACGCCCACATGAGAGCGGTCCATCCCCCCTAGAGAGGAGGGACAGGAGAGGGAGGTGAAACCTGGGGCAGCTCCCAGCGCACAACTGCCGCGAACCACCTCCTCCTGCGAGAATGTTTATTTACGCAACAGTAGTAAGAATCCTAACGGTAATAAGAATCCTACAGCAATAAGATGTCGTTCTAAATTCCCAATATTCCCAGACTACTCGAAATACGTCAAGCACACAAACGACTACGCCGAAGCTTGTCCTCTATCCTCAGGATGAAACCCGACGGCTCGCTGACCCACGACAGAATGAGAGAGAAAGCCTTTGCAACAGGCAGACCAGCTTCCAAACCGGAGCGGCGGGACCTGGGGCAAGGACTCGCTTCTTCAGCCTCAGTTTCATCAACTACGCACTCAGAACAACAGGAAGCCTCAGCCCTGGGACTGTTCTGAGAGCCAAGTAAGCGCTTGGCCTCGAAGCCCCTCTGTAGGCCAGGCATAGAGCAAGCGTCAAATACCGCTCGTTCCCCTGATAGAGCAGTGCGGGTCTATCCTGCAGGTCCCTTGCGCCTGCGCACCAGGCGCGTGAGCCCTCCACCCAGACTCTGGGCCCTGCACCCACGCTTGGCCGAGGCGACTGACATCATTCCCTTCTCTCCCTAAACTTTTATTGTACTCTGCTTAAGTTTGGGAAATAGAAAGGCTGCAGGTGGGTCTCTGTGCCTACCTATAAAAACAAGCATCTCACTCACTTCGCTAAGCTTTGAAAACAGACACAGAGTTAAAGAGGTGAAACTCTTGTGTAAGCTGCAAGTGAGTGCAAGACCGCAGAAAGCTGTAGTTTCCTAAGCTCCAGCCAACCGGACTTCACAAAGCGCCATCGCTGCGACCCAGCTGTCCCGGAGCGGGGCAGACCACCTCCCTCCTTTCTGAAGCAGAAAGGACTGCTCTCTCCACCTTCACGTTCCAACCAGACGCCGAGATGAGTAACAGCTGGGGGATCCGCACGGCGAACATCTTATTAAACCTGGCGTGTGCAGACGGCGTCTGAACAGAATCACGCTTTAAAATAGATCTGTAACTATTGGTCTGAAAATTATAACTCTAAACAGCTGACAACACATATTCTACAACCAGGTGGTGTCCTTCTCAAAGGCCTACCTGAAAGAAACACTTTTCTCCCAAGTTCTAAAACACTCATGTATTACAAGCTAATTAGTTGTTTTTAAAAATATTTCAGAATTTTAAACTCGGAAATAACTTGAACTAAGAAATTTTAACTAAGAACTTCCAAAAGAGCTATTTCGTAACACGTGGGTTTTAAAGCATTCTCTGATGCTCCGTCCAGTGCCCAAACCCAAACCCTACAGCCATCACCACGACTTCACACATAAAACGCAAGACTCCGCATCCTACTGCCGCTGCTACGGCTGACGCTGAGCAGTAACATCGTGCAGCACACGCGTACCATGTCACGGTGAGCAGTAACATCATGCAGCACACACGTACCATGTCACGGTGCTCCAAGTCCACTCCACATTTAAGCAGCTCCTCCACGATGTGCACGTGCCCTTCTTTAGATGCAGATATAAGTGCTGTCCAGTTGTCCTTGAAAACACATGCAGACATGTTACCATTTCGAGTCAAAACAACATTCCAAAGTGAGGAAAATGAACGCGAATTTACACACCAAACGGTCACACCCAGCCGACACGACCTGGACACCCTGAACCCCCCCAGAGCAAGGCGGAGGCTCTCCAGACCTGTCCCACCCACATCCCTACCACAGTGCGGAAATGGCTACACGCTGCTTGCTCAGTCTTCCCATGCAACGTCTACTCACACAGTGTGCTTTATAAATAGTAGCAACCATCACCAGCGAAGCCTCCAGGCGCATCTGTGGCTGGCAACCATGACTGCACACTCCAAGTGCCTGTGATCCTACTGTGTACTCACAGGCCCTTCAACCAGGGCAACCCCGGGCAACCAGCGTAGCAGCCGTGTGATAGGGAGACAACCAGTCTCCTTTACATCTTCAATGCAGGATGCAGATATCCTATTCAGCTGCCTGCATGCATGTCATGAACTCGAAAGATCAATCCATTAAAAAGTCACCACGTGACCCTCTAAAGCAATTCCAAAATTAATGTGACTTCCTCAAATGCTGATTCACCCCTCAGAAGACACCAGAAAGGGCAACAGCTCTCTGGCCACTATCATACGGTGGTACATCGTATGTATGATGTAAATTACCTGACGGGGGTCACTTAACAACACGCCTCGTACGTGGATATTAACAACACGCCTCACACGTGGATATTAACAACATGCCTCACACGTGGATATTAACAACACGCCTCGTACGTGGATGTTAACAACATGCCTCGTACGTGGATATTAACAACATGCCTCGTACGTGGCTATTTCGCAGGCCGGCAGATTTATTTACACATCTGTGCTGTCCGTTCAGCCGGTGCTACTAACACATGAAAATCAGTCCAGACCCTTCACCTAAAAATCTCCCTCCTGCATTACTCTTTTTAAAACAGGTGTAACACCCGAGGCACAGGTGAGTTATACCTAAAAGCATAGTTTTTAACCTTTTACTTTTGAATCACGTCTTAAAAACAAGGAAACAAAGTTAAATGATTTTCATATTCACCAGGTCTTCCAGATTGCAGTTCGCTCCGTTCTTAATCAGCTCCTTCACTATCTCCAGGTTGCCCTGCTCGGCGGCTATCATCAGCGGGGTCTGGCCACACTGGAACGCAAGACGCAGGAAGCTTAGCCGATGCTCGCGCGCACGGAGAAACCGCAGTCACACACGCCACGCCTGCCTGCCACGGAGCTCCCAGAGATCCTGGCTGTATTTACTATACCTCTGTGGTTCAGACACAGCTTTGAACCTTAAGTTTGGCTTTCTAATAAATTAAAAGAGAAAATCACACAATTTTTCTTATCATAGTATTAATGTTTCGGCATGAAAATTAATTAAAAAATCAGTAAACACGCATAATACTGTGATCTGGAAAGTAATTATCATAAGGTATAAAAATCTCAGAATACCTATGGCAACCAAATTCTCTAACAACACAGGCAGAATATGACATAAATGTGTTTTTAATCACATACATGTGTTTTCTCTAAAGCAGGACCAGAGGGAGATAAGAGACATACAATGCAGGTACCATACAGAACACTCACACAAGTAGGTTTCTCACTGTTTTATTTGAAAGGCAGAGTGGGAGGGAGAAAGATCTTCCATCCGCTGATTGAGTTCCAAATGTCCCCAACAGCAGGGGTTGGGCCAGGCTGAAGCCCGGAGCCCAGAATTCAGTGTGCGTGCCCCACACGGGGGACAGGGACCCACCCACCCACTGCTGCCTCCCAGGGTGCACACGGTGGGAAGCTGGAACAGGAAGCAGAGGCGGATTCAGGACAGGCACCCGGATCGGGATGCACGTGTCCCGAGCAGCCGACTGTCGTGCCAAATGCCTGCCTAGTTTTTATGTCTTCTCTTGTAACTTCAACACACCAAAGTAAACCTCTGATAATTAATCAGTGTATTCCAGCCTTCCAGCCCAAAGTGCTTCCTACACGCTGGAGAGTGGGGGGCAGGGCGCAGGCAGCCCCACCCTGGAAGTCCCCCCAGAGCGGGCGGCACTGCAGGAGCAGTGCTCTGAGTGCTGGCCGCGACACAGGTCAGAGCGCTGCGTTAAACAATCATACACTGCAGGCACTGAGACACACCAAGGGCTCTGAGAAAAATGCACACAAAAACTGAGTTCAACTGTACGAATACTTGAGACCTACTGACTGTGTGTATATCAACGTGCGTGTGGGAATCCATAATACATTTATTTTAAATACCAATTTGACATCAGTCCTTTGTGTCAAAGCCTTCAGTGTTTTCTGGAAAAGGACCCAAATCCCGCCAAGGCCAACAGAAGCCCTGGATGATGGTGGGGCCAGGGCAGACTGCCTCCCTGCCTGTCTGTGCCCCTCCCACCCCATGTACCCTCAAGCTGTCCCTTCTCCTCACTGATCCCCTGGCACTGCAGGCCAGGGCTTTAACCCGCTGGGCCACAGCACTGGCCCTGCAATTTTATTTGTATTTGTATGATTAACAATGGACTATTCCCTGCCTTCCCTAAAGACTCTAAACTCCATGAGGGCAGGAAAATGCCTGTTTTGTACATACATGTGAGAGACCATGTGTGTGAGGTGACAGCAACTGCACTCAAATATGTGCTGAGGGGCCGGCGTTGTGGGATAGCTGGTAAAGCTACTGCCTTTTCCTATTTCACCGGCATCCCATATGGGCACCAGTTCAAATCCTGGCTGCTCCACTACCAATCCAGTGCCCTGAGAATGGCCTGGGAAAAGCAGCAGAAGATGGCCCAAGTGGGAGACCCAGATGAAGCTCCTGGCTCCTGGCTTTGGCCGGGCCCAGCCCTGGGAAGTGAACCAGCAGATGGAAGATCCCTCTCTCTGTCTCTTCCTCTCTCTCTGTAACTCTTTCAAATACATACATACACACACATACAAATGAAGTATTTGCTGAGTAAATCAAACAAAGAATTTAAAAATGTATTAGGAGGGGGAGGTATTATGGCACAGCAGGTTAAACCACCACCCGGATGCCCGTATCTCATATCAGAGTTCCACCTCAGTCTCCTATCCAGCTTCCGGTTAATGCACACTCTGGGAGGCAGCAGATGATGAGTCAAGTACTGGGATCCCTACCACCCACATGGGAGACCCAGATGGAGTTCCTGGCCCCTCCCTGGCAGTTGTGGGCATCTGGGGAGTAAAGTAGCAAATGGAAGATCTCTCTCTCCCTGCCCCTCCTTTTTAAATAAATAAATAAATAAATAAAAATAAAAAAAAATTTTTAAAAACAAGCAAATAACTAACAATTAGCAAAATGCAACAAGTGCTATTATAAAATAATGCAAGAGTTAAACACAAATTCTGGATTACACAAAGAAGTAAATCACATTAAATAAAGGCATACCAAATAATTTAGTAGAATGATGGATACTAAATTATAGGCGGTAGTCACATTATTCAACCAGGGCCATTAGCGAATAAGGTAGTATCCATAAATAGATTTTCCAGGTGAAAAAGCCTATCCTTTACACATTAAATTAGATTATAACTTTTACAATACTCCTCACTCTAAAAAGCAACAGACACATTGCTACTTGTTAATGCGATTACCTAAACATTATGTGTATGACACTGCGTATTAACAGACACCCATCGCCACCCCAGCCTGCCTCTGTCAGCTCTAAGCTCTGGGCATACTTTCTAGAGACCATTGCCTTTGACGGCAGTCACCTCTGGAGGGTGCACCTCCTTCTCTCAATAGTTGCAATAAAACTAAAAGATGTTTAAATTCTCCTTTGAAGGTCCCTGTCATATTTTTGTGATAAACACGACAACAGCCATGTCTTAATGTCTTTCCCTTTCTGAAGCAGCAAACTGGTATCTGCCTTGTACCAAGCGGAGCTGAGTAACGTTCTGTTCTTTTGAAAAACGAAATAAAGTACAGGCCAGCCTTCTGGTGTAATGGATTAAATCTCCACCTACAACACTGGCATTCCAAATGGCGCCTCTTTGAGTCCTGGCTGCTCCACTTCCGATCCAGGTCCCTGCTTACGGACCTAGGAAAACAGCAGAAGACGGCCCAAGCGCTTGTCCCTGCACCCACATGGGAAACCCGGATGGAGCTCCTGGAACCAGCAGATGGAAGACCTCTCTCTCTCTCCCCCTCTCCCTGCAACTCTGCCTTTCGAATAAATAAAAAATAAATCTTTAAAAAAAGATTCATTTTTTTAAAAAGGAAATGTCTATGAAATAAAAATCTCTTTAAGTTATCACATTTTATTATTCTACATATGCTAATATATGCTAATAAAATAACTTCTGTAGTTCATTTACTCTAATAATGAATAATCTCCATTTTAAGTTTTACATCTTATATATTTTTAAAAATTAGTGACTATTCGTAATCGTAATAGAGCTGCTGTACACATTAAATGAGCTGATATAGAATATACGCACCATGATATTTGCATAAATATAAAAGCATTAGCCAGCACAATACTATTTATTGTAAGATGTTTTATATCACGATGTCCTTTAACGGGGGCCTGCATTGTGGCACAGCAGGTTAAGCCACTGGTTGCAATGCTGGCATCGCATAAGAGAGCCAGTTCCTGTCCCGGCCGCTCCACTTCTGATCCAGCTCCTTGCTAATGCACCTGGGAAAGCAGCAGGAGCTGGCCCAAGTCTTTGGGCCCCCGCAACACATAAGAAACCAGAGGGAGTTCCAGTACACTGGCTTCAGCCTGGCTCAGCCTTAGCTGTTGTGGCCATTGAAGGAGTGAATCAGAGGAAGAAAAATCTTTCCCTCTGTCTCTAACTCTGCCTCTCAAATAAATAAGTAAAGCTTAAAAAAAAAGATGTCCTATGACAGAGTTAACACTAAATGAAAATAGGAATCCTATGTCAAATAAAAACAATAAAATAATAGTGAGCTGTCACTTCAGCGTTTAAACACGTAGTATCTGCGTGTCCATGCGCGTATCAGCCACAAGGTGAAGGAGCCCAGTTCCCACCCGCACAGGAGCAGACAAGGGTGGGTACGCAACGTATGGGTGACACGCGGTCAAAGGCTGCTCAGCCTTAACAGGGACGGAATTCTGTCACGTGTCACATTTCTGCTACATGAAACGCCGTGTTCTACAGCCACTTACATGAGGTACCTAGAATTCACGGAAACAGAACGCAAAACAGTGGGTGAGGAGGAAGCGTTACTATTCACCGTGTGCAGGTTCTGATCTTATAACATGAACGCGTCTGGAGACCTGCTGCACAACAACGTAGGCACATTCAACACTGCTGAACTATGTGCCTCAACTAGTTAAGGTGAAACACTTTATGTTACTTTTTTCCACAATAAGAAAATTTACAAACCAAATTTTACATGCCTACAATTACCTCTACTATCTCTAGATACACTATATGCTAAACATACATCATATGTGTAAAATAAAAATAACTCATTCATCTTAGCCACTGGCTATAAAAATATGTTGAACACACAGTTCTCAGAAAGTTATTTTCCTTAAATTTTAGAAAACAAATATAAACTATATATACTTTATCACTTACAAAATTCACACAAAAAGTCTATTAGTCCCTAAAACGTCATGCCAAATAATCTTCAGCCTGGCTATTTATAATGAAGTAAGATCAGCTTTCTTTTCCTCATATCACTGAACAGAAACACCTAAGTTAATGGTTATTAAGCTTTATTAAACACCACAGGTAAACTATTACACTCTTTCCTACAGATGCAGTCTCTTAGACTGTGGAATGTATAACCAAGAAAAGTTGAGCCTCTATTATAGAAAATAGTTTTTAAAATCCCTAATCTTTGGTGCCGGTGTTGTGGCGCAGTGGGTAAGGTCACTGCCTGCAATGCCAGCATCCCATACGGGTGCGGGTTCAAGACCCAGCTGCTCCACTTCCAATCTAGCTCCTTGCTAATATGCCTGGGAAAGCAGCAGAAGATGGCCCAAATGCTTAGACCCCTACACCCACACGGGAGACCCCAAAGAGGCTCTGGGCTCCGGGCACAGCCCTAGCCATTACAGCCATTTTGGAAGTGAAGCAGCAGATAGAAGGTCTCCCTTTCTCTCTGTCTCTCTCAATCTCTGTGTAACTCTTTCAAATAAACAAAAGATAAATCCTTTAAAAAAAAATTCCTAATTTTCTCTGGTTAATCTACTCATTGGGTCTAGATGTTCTCTAAAGCGTCCTGGAAATACTTTAAATTTCAGTACTCAAACTTTCTGAATATTGACTACTCCATCATGGAAGAAAGGCAATCATAAAACCAAATTCAGGGGCCGGCGCTGTGGCACAGCAGGCGAAGCCTCCGCCTGCAGTGTCAGCACCCCAAATGGGCACTGGTTCGTGTCCCAGCTGTTCCACTTCCAATCCAGCTCTCCGCTATGGCCTGGGAAAGCAGCATAAGATGTCCCAAGTGCTTGGGGCCCTGCACCTGCATAGGAGACCTGAAAGAAGCTCCAGGCTCCTGGCTTCAAATCAGCTCAGTTCTGGCCATTGTGGCCATTCAGGGAGTGAACCAGTGGGTAGAAGACCTTACTCTGTCTCTACCTCTATTTGAGAATAAATAAAATATTTTAAAAAATTAAATATTCAAATATTCAATATGAAAACATAAAGTGCAGCCAGCGCCGTGGCTCACTAGACTAATCCTCTGCCTTGCGGCGCCGGCACACAGGGTTCTAGTCCCGGTCGGGGCGCCGGATTCTGTCCCGGTTGCCCCTCTTCCAGGCCAGCTCTCTGCTGTGGCCAGGGAGTGCAGTGGAGGATGGCCCAGGTGCTTGGGCCCTGCACCCCATGGGAGACCAGGAGAAGCACCTGGCTCCTGCCATCGGATCAGCGCCGGCCACAGCGCGCCAGCCGCGGTGGCCATTGGAGGGTGAACCAACGGCAAAGGAAGACCTTTCTCTCTGTCTCTCTCTCTCACTGTCCACTCTGCCTGTCAAAAAAATACAAAAAGAAAATATAAAGTGCACTCAAAAATATGGAATTTGAAGTATTTTTTAAATTTTTTATTTATTTTTCAAAAGGCAGAACGACAGAGGGAGGGAGACGCACAAAGACTGATCTTCCATCCACCAGTTCACTCCCTAAATGCTTTCAACAGCTGGGGCTGAAGCAGGCCAAAGCCGGGAGCTCGGAACTCCACCCTGGTCTCTCACATGGGGGAGCAGGGACCCAAGTACTTGGTCCACCATACGGTGCTACCCAGGCACATTAGCAGGGAGCTGGATCAAAGCAATGAGACTTGAAGCAGCTCTCCAGTTGGGATGTGTGTGTCCCATGCGGCAGCTCAACCTGCTGCACAGGGAGAACCACTTCTGAAGTCCTGTTACCTGTAAGAAACGGAACCATAGCCATAGACCAGTAGGCAGAGGCTGAAAGCACCGTTAGCCTTAGCGCAGGGCTCTGCACGCAGGAGCAGCCAAGTCGCCTGCCCGAAGCAGCGGCCTCACCTCGTTTCTCTCATCCACATCCTTGCACTTCTCAAGAAGGGCTTTCAGAGCGGGAATGTTCTCTTCTTCCACATAATTTATTACACTCTGTGATATCAGAACCGACATCTTCACAGAAAGCTGTTGCTCTCTTTATTTCAAAACCTGTTAATCGGACAAAATACATGTAACTTGTGGTTAGAAATATCATTAAGATACTAGTAAATATATCATCATTCCTTTTTTTAAAACATTTATTTATTTATTTGAAAGTGAAAATTAGACCCAATCAACGAGAACACTGACCTTGGCCTTCCAGCCTCCAAAACCATGAGAATAAATTCCTGTTCTCTCTTTTTCAAAAGATTTATTTATTTGAAAGGCAGAGCTACACAGAGAGAGGGAGAGAGAGAGATTTTCCATCCACTGATTCACTCCCCAGATGGCCACAACAGCCAAAAGCCAGGAGCTTCATCCGGGTCTCCCATGTGGGTGCAGGGGCCCCGGCACTTGAGCCATCCTCCACTGCTTCCCCAGGTGCGTTAGCAGGGAGCTGGATCAGAAGTGGAGCAGCCGGGACTCGAAGCAGTGCCCTACAGACAGCTGGAGCTGCAGACGCGGCCTAGCCCACCAAGCCTCAGCGTACGGAGCAACTGCACTTCCGCAGCAGGAGCGGAAAACAGAGCAGTGGGCTCCGCTGACAAAACGTCCCTTCCCCAGACTCACACTCGTCCCTGCCGTGGCTGATGCGCCCCAGAACCAGCTCCAGCCTCCTCAGCACCCACGGCTCCCACAGCCTGCTTCTCAGCGCAGGCTCCTTTCCTCCGAGGCCAAAACCCTCAGAACTCTCTTCCTCTCATACCCTGCATTCACTCTATCAGCAAATCCTCTGGCTCCACCTGGGACTAGACACTTCCCATCTGACCAGCGCTCAGTGCCCATCACTAGCTCCGGGCCTCTCTCCTGCGCCGCCGTCACGGCTTCCTAACTGCTCCTCGCTTCTGCGCTATCTCCCCTACAGTCTCCCCACCAGGGACCCCCCAGGGACCTTGGAAAGCCTAAGTGTGACCACAGCGACCAGAGGCTGGGCTGTGGGGTGAGCCGGCAAAGGGGGAAGCTGGCCAAGGACACAGTTGCCCTCAGACAGGGGACAGTTCTGCATCAGCTGCCCAGGAAGGGGAGCACAGGGAGTAACAACGCAGAGTGCGCAGCTGCTAAGTGAGCGGATTTTAAGTGTTCTCACCACCAGGAAAGCACGTGAGGTGATGGGCAGGTTAGGCCAGCTGATCCCATCACCTCACGATTCACGCTGCATCTCGTAAATACATGTAATTATTGCTTGTTGATCAAAGCGAAACTAAACCTTACATGCACGCGAATCTCCTGCACACGTCAAGGCAGAGCCAGGACCCCACTCGGAGGCTGGCTCAGTGGCCGGGCCTCAGTCTGTGTCACCCGCTCCCCAGGGAGCTGCCTCCCTGCCTGCAGCCAGGCGCGGTGCTGCTGCACAGACTGCATCCTCTTCTGTTTCAGTGGCTTCCTGAGCACTCAAATGAAAATCAAGCGCTTTCATCAGGGCCGGCGCTGTGGCACAGCAGGTAAAGCCACCGCCTGCAGTGCCAGCATCCCATCTGGGTGCCGGTTCAAGACCCGGCTGCTCCACTTCCCATCCAGCTCTCTGCTATGGCCTGGGAAAGCAGCAGAGGATGGCCCAAGTCCTTGAGCCCTGCACCCGCGTGGGAGACCCAGAGGAAGCTCCTGGCTTTGTCTCCACTCAGCTCCGGCCATTGCGGCCAACTGGGGAGTGAACCAGCGGATAGAAGACCTCCCTCTCTCTCTCTCTCTCTCTCTCTCTCTCTCTGCTTCTCCACTCTCTGTGTAACTCTTTCAAGTAAAATAAATAAATCTTCTTTTTTCACCTCCACCTGAACGACTCCTAAGTGGTCCTCACCTCCATCCACCTCCGCACACAGGCAGGGATCCCTAAGTCCTAAACGTCTTGTCACACCGCAAGTTAAGAATCCACCTGTGGGGCCGGCACCGTGGCTCACTTGGTTAATCCTCCACCTGCAGCGCCAGCATCCCATATGGGTGCCGGGTTCTAGTCCTGGTTGCTCCTCTTCCAGGCCAGCTCTCTGCTGTGTCCCAGGAAGGCAGTGGAGGATGGCCCAAGTGCTTGGGCCTTGCACCCACGTGGGAGACCAGGAGGAAGCACCTGGCTCCTGGTTTCGGATCGACGCAGTGCTGGCTATGGCAACCATTTGGGGGGTGAACCAACGGAAGGAAGACCTTTCTCTCTGTCTCTCTCTCTCACTGTAACTCTGTCAAATAAAATTTAAAAAAAAAAAAAAGAATCCACCTGCATCCCACATGAGCACTGGTTCCGGTCTCGGCCACCCCACTCCCGATCCAGCTCCTGCGTATGCGCCACAGGAAGCGGAGGAAGGTGCCCAAATCCTTGGCCCTGCACCCGCGGGGAGATCCAGATGGAGAGCTGGCTCCTGACTTGGGCAGTTGTGAACACTTGGGGAGTGAAGCAGCGGATGAAAGATCTCTGTCTCTCCCTCCCTCTCTCTATAACTCTGCCTTTCAAATAAATAAATAAACGTTGTACAAATCCTCTTTCCTTATGGCTGCTCTACGCTCAATCTCTCCAGCGGTTTTCCTCTCACTCAAAATAAAATCCCAAATCCTTATCCCGGCATACACAGGTCACGGCATGATCCTTTCTACCCCGCTCCACCTCCCTGAGCTCAGCTCCGACCTTCACTGAGTTTCTGCCCGGTTCTGTCATTACCTCATCCAGGTCTCTGACCAGGTGGGAACGTGCACCGCCCCCGCCCCCACCCCCACTCCCCACCCCCACTCCATCAGCTTGCTTTATTCCTCTAGACAGCACTCAGCACGCCCTCTCATCGCCTGCTCTCCCCACCCCGCCCCAACCAATGGAGCTCAAGAACCGGGATCAGCTGTTTGCTGGCTGAAGTGCCAGCGCTCAGGGAAACACCTGGTGCGGAGCAGAAGGCCGGACACCCGCACGCGGACACGCGCCCTGCAACGTCTGCGCAGCTGTCACCCTCCGGGGACGCAGCCCAGGGCTCAGCTCTCACATCTCCCCACCCCCTCCAATCCCCACTGCCCTGCCGTGGACAGTCTCACCCTGCACACCCAGCCCTCAGGTACAGTTCAGAAACGACAGTACCTTCTCACAACGACCGACTGACTGTGAAATCCCTACAAACAGGACCTCAAGTACTCAGGTTTTTATCGCATATGGGTGCCGGTTCGAGTCCCGGCTGCTCCTCTTCCGATCCAGCTCTCTGCTGTGGCCTGGGAAAGCAGTGGAAGATGCCCAAGGGCTTGGGCCCCTGCACCCATGTGGGAGACTCGGAAGAAGCTCCTGGCTCCTGGTATCTGTCTGGCCCAGACCTGGCTGTTGTGGCCATTTAGGGAGTGAACCAGCAGTTGGAGGACCTCCGTTTCTCTGCCTCTCCTTCTCTCTCTAATGAATAAAATAAAAAATTACTTCAAAATAAAAATTTTTTTGTTTGTTTTGTTTTGTTTTTTTTGACAGGCAGAGTGGACAGTGAGAGAGAGAGACAGAGAGAAAGGTCTTCCTTTGCCGTTGGTTCACTCTCCAATGGCCGCCGCGCTGATCCAATGGCAGGAGCCAGGAGCCAGGTGCTTTTCCTGGTCTCCCATGGGGTGCAGGGCCCAAGCACTTGGGCCATCCTCCACTGCACTCCCTGGCCACAGCAGAGAGCTGGCCTGGAAGAGGGGCAACCGGGACAGAATCCGGCGCCCCGACCAGGACTAGAACCCGGTGTGCCGGCGCCGCTAGGCAGAGGATTAGCCTAGTGAGCCGCGGCGCCAGCCCTCAAAATAAAAATTTAAAACACACATGCAAATGTCTGAAAAAGCCCTTACTTGGATCAAATATTTTTGTCACCACACATCACACAAAATAGGACCACACACTCAAAGAAAAGTGGCGGCAGGTGTCAACTTTCCTGGCTAAAGAAATCAAAGACTGGGGCCGGCACTGTGGCACAGAAGGCTAAGCCTCTGCTGCAGTGCCGACATCCCACGTGGGCACTGGAACAGATCCCGGCTGCTCCACTTCTGCCCAGCTCCCTATGAGGTACCGAGGAAAGCAGCGGAAGACGGCCCTGGTGCTTGGGCCCCTGGAGATCAGAAGAAGCTCCTGGCTTCAGACTGGCCCAGCTCTGGCCATCGCAGCCATCTGTGGAACGAGCCAGTCAGTGGACACAAGATGGACATCTATTTCTCACTCGCTCTCTCTCTCTCTCCTTCTCTTTCTGTATTTCTGCCTTTCAAATAAATCTTAAAAAAAAAAAAAAGAAAGAAGAAAGAAAAAGAGAACAAAGACTGAAAACCTTAAATTTTCAAATCTCCTGGACCTGCCTCTCCCACGCTGTTATGTGGATTGTAAGTACGTCCCCTTCAGATGCGGAAGACACAAGAGTTAGCCCTCTTATTCTTTCCTTAGACTACTATTAAGCAGAAAATGCTAACATAAAATATATATATAATTTGAAACTGTTTTTCTTAAACTACCCAAGAGACATCCTTTGAGCTAATCTACTGTGGAAAGGTGACCTATTTTTGTCATATAATTATATGAAAATGCCTGCAATTCCACACAGCTATTACAGCAACAGTTTAGCAGTAACCTAGAATTTGCAAGGCAGTGTGCTACGGGCTATGACCAACAGGCTGACTAAGACGTCACTCCTGCTCTAGGGGAGCTCAGGGCCCTCCAAGGGCAAGGGTCAGAAGCGGAGGGGGCTGGGGGAGGAGGGGGAGGGACGGACACCGAGGGGAGGGCTGCTCACTCCATCCGCCTCCTCCCCCAGGGCTCTGCCGGTCCTCAGCCATGCTCTCCACCACCAGCCATACCAGGATGTGCACAGGACTGGTGACCACCGACCCATCAGAGAGAGAAGCTGGGCCGAGCCTCTCTAGGGCTAGGACCTAGAAACCAGAGCTTGTGTGGGTCCTTACGGGCCATGTGTACAATCCTAGTTTGGAGAGAGTCAGCCAGTAGAGAGAGAATGCCACAGACACGGGGAAGCAGACTCCCTAAGTAAGAAGGAAAATGAGTGCCCTGAGAAATGGAACAGAGGCAGCGCCCGGGCTGGAGGCGCTCCCTCAGTTCCCTAATTCTCCTTTCCCCGAGGAAACACGAAGCTTGGTGCGTGCATTCTAAACAGCCCTACTCACAGCCGAGACAGGACAGAGCAGCACGAGGGGGCTGCACACCCCACACGACCCCAGAGAACTGGGTCTCCGGGGAACACAGAGTCAGCATCCTGGGTCGGATCGGGGAACCCCGACACAACCCGCACACGGGAGAGGGGCCAGGCGGTGGGCAGGCGGCCGCACTCCGGCGTGGCCACGAACAAACCAGACTTCCCACCGCCCAGCCGGGTGAATTCGAAGGCTCCAGGAGAGCTGGACTGGAGACGCTCACCCAGAACCCGGATCACGCGGGGTGTGCAGAGCAAGCACTCCGGGGCCCGGCGCGCACCCACGTCCCGGGCTCCTCCCCGAGAAGGCCTGCCCGTGCACCTGCGGCGGGGTGCACACGCTGACACCTCAAGAACGCAAGGAACGGCGCCCACGCCGGCAAAGCGAGAGAACAAAGGGGCGCGGGGCAGCGTCCTCCGTGAACACCGCGCCGCCGGGTCCCGCGTGGCCCGCGCGTGGGCAGGGACAAACCTCCGCCGCTCGCCCCGAGCCCCGGCGCGGGCAGGGCGCCGCAGCTACCGCCGGGAGGACGCTCTTCGCCGGCCCACACCTCTCAGTGTGTCACAACCACCCCACGGAACGAAAATTCCCACGCCGACACGCCACCGCGCGTAGGGGACCCGCGGCGTGCCGATCTGCTGCCAGGCGCGGAAAAGGACAAAGCAGCAACGGACCCCAGGGAAAGCGGGGGCACCCGCCCCAGGGACGCCCGGCCGGCGGGCGCGGCCCGGCCACCCGCGCCCCTCGCTCCGCGGCCCGGCCAACGCCCACCCGACCCCACAGCCGGCCCGGCCGCCCCGAGCGCCCCGCCCGGCCGGCGCCCCGCTGACCGTCTCACGGCGTGCTCGGAGGACAGGGCCCTCGGCTCGGGCGGAACGGGCTCGGCCGCGGGCGGTGTCAGAGGACGCGAGGGTGGGAGGCCGCGGCTTTCTGCTCTGCTCCCTCGCCACACCCAGCGGCCATTTTCTCCTCCCTGGCGAACTGACAGATCACGTGGGAGCGGGCGGGGCGGGGCGGGGCGGGGCCACGCCCCCTTGGGGCGGGCCGAGAGGCGCCCGGCGGAGGCGGGGCTTGGGCGCAGGGACGCCGCGGGCGCAGCTGGGCGAGTCCCGCCTCCTCCCTCCGCTCGCTCTGCTAAGCTTCCAAAGGGAGCTGGACAAGTGCCCGCCATATTTTCTCACTGTCGTTGTCCCTGCTTACTGTTCACTGACAATCCCTGTTTACTTTCCTGATCGACTTTCTCCGGAGAAATAACCACAACTGTAATGTCAGGGGACAGATAGTCACGGCCAGTGACGGCAGCCCAAGCGCCTCTCGCTGAGGTCAGTCCCTTCCACTTCCACACCTGCCTCCCGCCTGGAGGGCTTCTCCACACCCAGGCCCTGCCTGCCGCCCGCTCCCACCTGGCCCCGCCACTAGGTGTTGCGACACAGGTGATCCCTTAAGAGCTGGTGGGTGGGGGAAGACCCACCAAGGCCCGCCCCCACCAGCAGGTGCTGAGCTAGATAAGACCCTGCGAACTGGAGGCCGAAATACACTCTGCCTGCCCAAGCCGCTCCTGAAGCTAAGGAGCAGCTGACTCGTACAGCTAGCCGTCTTTATCTTCTGTGGTCTCCAGGCTGCCTCATCCCCACTCTTCCTCACCAGGCCCAGAGGACAGCAGGTGAGCTCCCGGGAGACCCGGGCTGACGGTGTCCCAGGGGTTGGGGCCCCCAGCATAATGAAGGCTGAAGAGTCAGCAAGGCACGGGCTCTTGCTGCATCTGTAGACACAAAGGCAAAATGTGGAGCGTTGTCACAGGTTAGGTCAGAAGTCAGAGTGATCTCACCGACGTGCGTCGGTTACTGAAATAACTCCCGGGTTAAAGCCGAAACTGCCGGTCCCTACTGAACGGCACTTTTATTTATTTTTTAAGGCAGATCCACAGAGAGGCAGAGAGAGAGGTCTTCCATCTGCCAGCCCACTCCCCAGATGGCTGACACAGCCAGAGCTGGGCTTATCCAAAGCCAGGAGCCAGGAGCTTCTTCTGGGTCCTCCACACGGGTGCAGAGGCCCAAGGACTGGGCCATCTTCCATTGCTTTCCCAGGCCATAGCAGAGAGCTGGATCAGAAGTGGAGCAGCTGGGACTGAACCAGCACCCACAGGGGACGCCGGCACCACAGGCGGCAGCCCCTTGAACTGCAGTTTAAGAAGGGCTGCACTCACAACAACCCCCCTTTCCAGCCCCCACCGCACCCCCTGCAAGATCCCTTTCGCCCCCAGGAGTTATGTGTGCAGCCCCCACAGCACCACTCACTTAGTGAGCCTAGTCCACAGGCCCAGGAGACCAGGCAGGCAGCTCAGGGCGTGGCTGGGCGGGCCCGGGCCACCAGGTGCTGGGGACCTGGGAATCCAGGCAGAAGGGGGTGGGGTGGGGGTGGGGTAGGAGCACACTGCAGGTGAGGGGTCTCAGTGAGGAACTATGCACATCCCCATGTGGGAAGACACAGACATGGGGCCCCAGCCTCAGGTAAGGGTGCCATCCCCCACCCCGACCTCAGCCCCCTCAGCCCCCAAACCTCAGTGTGCATACCTCTTGCTCAGGAATCCGTGCCTGGAGAGCCGGAAATAGAAGCAGGCTGGCTCCTGGGGGCCACCTCTTAGTGGGGGTGAGAGCAGGTTGGGGGTGCAGGGGTGCAGGAGACCTCAGCACACATGGGTCACCCAGTCCACCCCGCCCCCACAGCTCTGCCCGGGACCATGCCTGGCAGCTAATTCCTACAATGGTAACCTCTCATGACTGCAAGTGACCAGAAAATTATGAGATTTCCTTAAAATGTCAACAGGAAGTAGACACGCATCAGAGATGTTGCATCCTGTACTGCAGTCGCCTGTTGGAAATAACGGGGAAAATTACAGCTTTTTAAAAAGATTTATTTGAAAGGCAGAGGGATACAGGGAGGGAGGAAGAGAGAGAGACAGAGAGGTCTCCCACCTGCTGGTTCACTCCCCAAATGGACGTGGCCGAAACAGTAGAGGGCGGAGCAGGCCAAAGCCAGCAGCCAGGAACTCCATCCTGGTCTCCCAGGGGGGTGCCGGGGTCCAGGCACCTGACCAGTTATCAGCTGCGTCCCCGGTGCATTTAGGAGGATACTGGATCAGAAAGGGAGCAGCTGGGACTTGAACCAGTACGGGAGGTGGGCACCAGGACGCCCACCCCACTGTGACGGTTTCATGGCATTGCCTCTCTCTTGCCAAATGCCTGGGATTCCTGTCCCACACCCTGGCCTCCTATCCTGCAACAATGTTACGAAAGTGCTTTCCCTCTGCCCATCTTGTGTGCAATGGTCATCCCTCCAGGCAGGCCTTGGGGCTTTCCAAGTTTTTCCAAGTTGCCTACATCTTTTCCTCGGGCTTGTGCTCCAGGAAGAGGACTCAGATCACTTTAAGAGTCTGGCTTCTGTCCTCGTCATGTGGTTTTGTGTCGAAGGAAAAATAGCAGTTATCCCCCCCCCCCCATCCCCGCTGTAATTTACCCGCCTTCATCTTCTGCAGCCGCGTCAGCGCTCCGCCCTCTCCTCTCCACGCGGTTCCGTCTCCTTGCGTATCCGATTCTCCACGGGAACCTCAGGATTTCTGCACACTCTGCTGCTTTAGAGCCCTGCTCTCCGATTCATCACAAACAACGTGAAGACACAGACGAGTCTGGAGAGGAGACAGCTCCCCTCATTTCACCTCTCAGAGCTCTGCGGCTTCCAGAACTGAGATCTGAAACACAACTCTGCTGTTCACATCTATACAAGCACTCTGACATCGAAAGGGGAGGCAGGGTCGCAGGCGCCCAGAGATGGGTCTTCCAGTGCTAGTGGTGGATTTCTGTTAACCCTTTCAATTCTGCAAGACTATGGGTTACTCTCTGTGTTATAAAAATTTACATAATCAGGTGCTGGATGTTTTCAAAGTTCACCTGTCCCCATCCTCGTCACAAAGTTTAGCTTCATTGTATCCTACCTTAAATGATCAATTTTCTCATGCTAAAGACTAAAAGATTTAGGTCAGCATATCATTTAACATTAGATGAAAATTTTTTCCTCATTTTTCTCTAACAACAATATTTAACCCAAAGAAAACTGTTTTTAAAAAATGTATTTATTTATTTGAAAGTCAGAGGTACACAGAGAGAGAAGGAGAGGGAGAGAGAGAGGTCTTCCATCCACTGGCTCACTCCCCAATTGGCTGCAATGGCCGGAGCTGCGCTGATCCAAAGCCAGGAGCCAGGAGCTTCCTCCAGGTCTCCCACGTGGGTACAGGGGCCCAAGGACTTGGGCCATCTTCCACTGCTTTCCCAGGCTAAACTGTAGGGAGCTGGACCAGAGGTGGAGCAGCCAGGACAGAAACCCGTGCCCAGATGGGATGTCAGCAACCCAGGCGGCGGCTCTACCCACCACGCGTGTCTGCCCAGAAAACAGCTTTTCCACTGGCTCATTGCGGAGTACTGAATCTTTTCTCCTCTGTTCCTAATGCTCTCCAAGTGGCTCCTTATTGAATTAACTTCAAGTTGACCTCCACTCGAGCCAATACGCTGTTTATCTCACCCCAGCTCCGTCATTCACTGTGATATTCTCCAGAACAGCCTGCTTGGCCCCTTGAACATCCACCATTTGCCCTTCTTGGAGCTCGAGGGACTCGATGCCTCTCACCAGTGCCCCAGATTCTGACTTCTCCTCCTCTCCTGGGAGCCTGATTACGCCAGAGCCGGACATTTTAACCAGTCCGCCATGTCGCCTGCTCTCTGCATTTCCTGTTCTGTTTCATTTCCATCCTCTGCTCTGGACATAGTGAAGACATTAATTACATTTGGTGGAAGCTTGGAGCCTTTCTAGCAGAGGGAAGCATCAGCTGTGTCTTCCTTGCAGGATTTGATGGACTTCAGCAGGCAGAAGGGTTTTCCTTAAGTAGGGGTGTGAGTGAGGAATATTCCGGAAGTGGCCAGCACAGTCATGTAATCAGGGGGCGGGTGGGTGAGAACATGAGTGTAACAGAGAGCAGATAACACCAAATTATCAAGGCAGCTCAACATGGAGCCCAAAGCGATGTACAGCTGGTGTAAAATTTGGTAACCCTGGGTAACAGGAGCCCCAGGAGCCCTTCATGGAAGGGCCGGCATTGTGGCCTAATGGGTTAAAGCTGCTGCCTGCGCCACCGGAATCCCATGTGGGCACCGATTCGAGTCCCAGTTGCTCCACTTCCGATCCAGCTTCCTGCTATGGCCTGGGAAAGCAGCAGAAGATGGCCCAAGTGCTTGGGCCTCTGGACCCACATCAGAGACCCATATGAAGCTCCGGGCTCCTATCTTCATCCTGGCCCAACCTTGGCTGTTGCAGCCATCTAGAGTGAACCAGTGGAGGGAAGAATTTTCTAACTCTTGACTTTCAAATAAAATATATAAATATAAAAAAAAACCATAGGAAACCCATAATGCATTTAGTGAGAGACAGGGGCGTCCGTAGTGGCTTTCAGCTTGAGCTCAGCTCCGTCACTCACAGCCAGGAGCCTTTCACCCTCCAGACGGCTCCTGAGCAGTGAGAGCACCACTGTGGGACGATGCACTCAGCACCAAGGTCTGCACCACGGCTCAGTGCGCTCGTGGGCGCTGGGGGCACACAGGGACCCATGCACTCAGCACCAGGGTCCACACCACGGCTCAGCGCGCTCGTGGGCGCTGGGGGCGCACGGGGACCCACGCACTCAGCACCAGGGTCCCCACCACGGCTCAGTGCGCTCGTGGGCTCTGGGGGCGCACGGGGACCGATGCACTCAGCACCAGGGTCCGCACCACGGCTCAGCGCGCTCGTGGGCACTGGGGGTGCACGGGGACCCATGCACTCAGCACCAGGGTCCCCACCACGGCTCAGCGTGCTCATGGGCGCTGGGGGCGCAGGGGGACCCATGCACTCAGCACCAGGGTCCCCACCACGGCTCAGCGTGCTCGTGGGCCCTGGGGGCGCACGGGTGAGGACAAAGCCCTCGCCTGCTCGCCTCCTGGGCCAGGGGAGACAACTACCACGCCAGCAGTGCAGCTGGTCTGCAGCACAGGGAGAATGCTCTGGGCGGGGGGGGGGAGGGTGGTAAGGAGAGTGGGCCAAGGGCCAAGGGGAAGAGGAGGGGCTCCAGAAAGTGAGAGGGCAGCAGGGACAGATTCTCTGCACTGGGATGTGCTCGGTGTGGCCAAACACCCGCAGGAGGCCAGGTGGCCGGGGGAGGGAGAGCAGGTGACTGGAAGGAGGGTCTTAGGGAAGACACCGAATCTCACTGCAGCGCAGGGGAAGCCCCCCAAGGGTGCTGAGTGAGGAGACGCCACTTGCCCGATGTAGAAAACTCCTTCTTCCTACTATGAAAGACCACTGTGTGGACGCAGGAAACCACTGAGGGAGCCTCATGACACTACAAGGAGAGCGGATGGTGGCTCGGACGGCTCGGATGGGTAACAGCCATGGGGAAGGAGGAGGGGTCAGGTTTCTGGGTGTGTCTGGAGGTGGAGCCCCAGAGGCCCAGCGCGGGACATCTCTGGGCAACAGAAGATGGACAGGTTGGTACCAGGTGGCGCAGGAGCTGGCACACGACACCGTCTTTCAAGCTTCAGCCATGTCAAGCTGCGAGTGGAGGGTTCTGGGCTTTTTAGTTAATTAATTGTTTAAAGGAATACAAGTTTAGGAATCTAGTGATTTTCCCACCATCCCCACCCTCCCAGCCCCGCCCCTACCCCTCCTCCTCCTCCCTCCCCCCCCAGTCCCAATCTCCATTAAGATTAATTTTCAGTGAACTTTGTACACAGAAGCCAACTCTACACTAAGAGTTCAGCAATTTGCACACACACACACACAACCTGAGAACAATTTTAATCTACACCTGGTAAAAAAGGGAAAATCTCTCCTGTTAAAAACCACTCAATGGGGCCAGCACCATAGCCCAGTAGGTTAATCCTCCACCTGCAGTGCCGGCATCCCATATGGGCGCCGGTTCTAGTCCCAGCTGCTCCACTTCCGATCCAGCTCTCTGCTATGGCCTGGGAAAGCAGTAGAAGATGGCCCAAGTGCTTGGGCCCCTGCACCCGCATGGGAAACTGGAGGAAGCTCCTGGCTCCTGGCTTCGGATCGGCTCAGCTCCGGCCGTTGCGGCCATTTGGGGAGTGAACCAACGGAAGGAAGACCTCTCTCTCTGTTTCTCTCTCACTGTCCGTAATTCTACTTCTCAAATAAATAAAAATTTTTAAAAAATCGTTCAAGAGAAAAGCAGCAGGCAAGCTGCACTTGAGAAACAGCGTACAACCCCCCGACCCGCACTCCTCGAGTCTGCCAAGGCCGACAGCGAGAAGGGCTGAAACGCTGTCACAGTTGAGAGGAGCTTAGGCGACAAGGACTGAACGTGGGATCAGGCCGGGGACCCGGGAAGAAAACGGCGGGGGTTGGGACCCAGGAGAGCCGAGGCAGAGCCGGCTGTATTCACAGCATCAGTTTCTTGGTCCTCACAAGCAGTCCGCCCCAACAGAGGCCCCCACAGCTGGGGAGACGTGGCCTGGGGTGTGCAGGACCCGTGCCCAGTCCTCACCTTCTCTAAACCGAAAACTCTTCTTTGGAAGTTTGCTATATACAGAGATGCACAGGAACCTACAGATGGGAACACGCGCTCTTCCCTGGCTCACAGAACAGGCTGGGTCCGCATTCCCGGGCTTGTGCGACAGAAGCCAGCGAGGGACTGTGCGCCGGCTGCGTGTCTCACCCACCCCAGGAGCAACCGTTTTTAAGGAACCGAATAAAGCTGCGGTCTGAACCATCCGTCCGGTCCCCTGGTCCAGGTTGAGCGGGAATTTCTCTCCCCAGAACTCCGGCACCTGTTTCAACTCTGACATCCTGATGTTCATGGTGGGGACCTCCCCTAACGATGATGTCTGAGAGGCGGGGCTGATGGGAGATCTGCGGGTCCCTGGGGGCGTGCCCTCCGAGGCTGGCAACCACCAAAGGTCTGAGTGTCAAGTTCAAGTTCAGCCTAGGTTCTCTCTCTCTGCTTCCTGGCCCACCACGTCAATCTGCCTCCACACTCACAAGCAGCCCCCGCCAGATGCCGGCCTAGGAGCCACCAGGTCCCCTAACTCCAGCTGTCAGCTGAAATAAACCTCTTCTTGTCCAGAGAAACTCCTCGGGTGTTTTAGTTAAAGTGACCAAAAGCAGACTAACACAACCCATTATAGAAATGACTGAATCCAATGGCTTTTCAACATGCAATCCAAGCATATGAAGCCAAAAGATTCAAAGGGGAATAGTGTATCTATCGGGGATCACTTGATAAAACCAGAGAAGAGAGTTAATACAAACAGCATACTTTTTTGATTTTATGATGCTTATGGTATTAGATGATCAACCTTTGTGATGTTGATTTTTTCCACTTTAAGTATCCATTGTATTGGTATCCTACTATTGTCATTTGTCTCCTAGAAGTGTGTGAATCTTAATCCACAAAACCCAGGTCCAACCCCGCAGGGAGAGGGAACGCCCACAGGCTGGAGCAGGTGCACGAGGGTCTTCAGTGACACAGCCACCGAATCGGGGGAGACGCTGGAGGTGAGCCGACAGCCCGGGGAAGGCAGAGCGACGCGGGGCGGGGCCGCCTGGCACTGCTGCCGGAGCCAGGAGCTGGTTCCTGAAACAATCTTTCACTCATCACACCTGCAGGACTCTAAGTGGAGGATCCAGCTTCCCGCTTTACCCACGCAGAAGGGGCTCGCCGGTCACATCATCCTCGAAAGAAAAACAGCACACAGATCTTAACTGAGAGACCTGCCAAGCCCCCGGACCAGCACTGCCCTTAGCTGTCAAGGTCAACAACCAGGGCAGTATGCACACTGGCACGGGCCAGCGGAGCAGAGAGGGCCGGGGCAGAGCAGAGGT